CAAGACACATTAGTACGCAAAGTAATATACAAAATCGCGCACGCCTATAAACATACATAGAAAAGAAATAACCTTAGTCTGCTTGGAAAGAAACACAAAAGCGTTGATAATATATTTACACTCAAATATATTGTTCAGAGACAATGCTTGAGTTACAAAAAAACGAATCTGGACTTTGCACGGAAACAATCTCGCTTGGCAAGCTGTTCCATTCTTTTATCGTTCGTGGGAAGAAAGAGTTACGAAACAGATCAGATTTTGACGTGCACTCCCGAACTTTTTGGTCATGATCTACTCTGCGCGATACATACAATTTCTCAAGCAGGTAATGTGATCTTTTAATTTTAGATAAACCACACAAAATACAGTGAAAAAATTTTAGGCGCAAATACTTACGCCTAACAGCAAGCGATTTCTATTGTAAATCCTTTTTTATTGCGGAGACACTGCTACGAAAGTTGTAATTATTTGTCACAAATCTAGCGGCACAGTTTTGAATTCTTTCAATTTTATCAATGAGGTACTATTGAGATGGATCCCATACAACGCAAGCACACTCGAGAATGGGCTTCACACAAGAAAAAAAAGTCTGTTTGAGGGATGGTGGAGCGCGCGAGAAGTTTCTCCTTAGAAAACCCAGCGTTCTCCTAGCTTTCCCTGTTACGTAGTTCACATGTGAAAGCCACCTCAAATCATTAGAAAAATTTACCCCCAGATATTTAGCTTCTTTTTTAACGAGTGGGGTTTCTCCGTGTAAAGTGTACGTTGACTGGAGAACGTTGCGTTTTCTTGTGAACCTTACATGACAACCCTTTGGGATGCTCAAAGTCATTTTCTATCTTAAACACCACAAACAAATTCTGTCTAAATCGCTTTAAAGAGCTGATACATGTTTTGCCCCCCCCCCCCCCTCCCCCCTCCTGAAGCAGCCTGCCCAGTGGCGGCTGCGTCAGGGGGGGCAAAACACATGTCTTACCCCCTCACTCTGAGAACTGGGGAGGCAAGCGCCCCACTTGCCCCCCCCCCCCCCCCCCCCCCCCCCCCGGGTTGGTACGTCCATGTCAGTCAGTCAGTTAGTCAAATCAATCAATCAATCAGCCAGCATTTGGATCTAAAAGAAACAGTGGACGAAATACAGCCTTCCATTTCGGTGCTGCCAGACAAATATGATGCAGTGATAAGCCGCAAGACCCAACGCGATGAGGAAATAAAAGAACCGAGTAAAAGGGTTGAAACAGTCGAGAGAGAAAAAAAAACATGCAAAGGCAGAAATTAAACAACTAAAGGAACAGGTGAATGAACTCGAGTGGAGATCACGCCGACAAAACTTGGGAACTTCACGGCATCCCGATGACCAAAGAAGAGAACAAAAAGGCAAAAGTAAACAGTGTAGCAAGGATACTAAACGTGCGGGAGTTGACCGCTAGTGATATGGTATAGCAGCGCACAGAGTTTCCTCGAAGCCTGATAAGGTCCCGGACATTATCGCGCGTTTTAAAGCCAAACAACTCGGGACGTGAGGTTCAATAGGCGTTTGAGCCTAAAAAAAATAAACGGAAACAAACATTTTTCTTTTGGAAAATGTCACAGTGCGTGAACGATAGTTTCTTTGGTCTGCAAAGGAATGGGCCAGGGCAAACGCTTGCAAGTATGCCTGGTACACAAATGGCAATGTGCTCATGAGGAAACAAGACGGAGGGCGAGTACACGTAGTTAAGGACGAAGATGATTTGCGGTAACTGAAGTAGAAAGATTGCAAATTTGCCATTCTTTTGATTTCTTCTTTAGGAAATGGCTAATAAAATTAGTTTATTTCCCGAGTGAAGTTGGGAACTTTTTAGATTTCAAAAAAACGTTGTATTTTTGTTTTCAATGCACAGTCCCTGCGTAGTAAGCTTGATCAGTTGGACACGTTTTTAATGAGTTTCGACTTTTGATGTTATCATGTTGACAGAAACATGGTATACAAAAAAAAACGATACTCTCGACAATTTATAGAAACTAATTTATGCCGAATTTAAAAAAAAAGGAGGAAGTGTCGATGTACATAAAAATACTATACACTGCACTGCAGCATGATAAATGAATTTACGACAATTACCGAGGACTATAAAGTTTTGACGTTGCAGCAAGGGCATAACGCTTTTTGCGCCGTGTATCGCCATCCGGGTGGCAGTATGTCCTGTTTTCCTAAATGTCTAGATACTCTTTTTCTTCGTCGGTGAAACCTTAATGGGTAAAAGGGGGGGGGGGGGGGGGGGGGGGGGGAGAGATTTTAGTATCAATATGTCAGTATGCTTGCTTCATCACCCCAACGATCAGAATTTATCATGCTTTAGTAGTCGTATGGCCAGACCTGCATCATTTGTCAACCAATTCGTTAAAATAGAGCGAATGAAACTTTGTTACATATTTTTCTTTTTTAAAGGGGGCGCTCAAAAAAACGTACCCTAGGAACACGTACGTGCTGCTGTTATTGGAGCGACAATGAGTGAACAACTCCCTATTTTTATGTCTATAGAGTTAAATATTATTAAACACAAAAAAATGTATACGCATAATCTTTATTACCGTGACATTAGTAAAACAAGTCTCGAGTATATTCAGGAACAAATTAACATAACAGACTGGAGCGCGGTTCTGTCTAAGATGTCGGCTGATGGGGCCCATGAGAGTTTTCTTGGGACGTTTTGCGATATATATATATATATATATATATATATATATATATATATATATATAAAAATTGGGCGCTTGAGTACAGAAGGCATAAAAACCACAAAAAGTGTAGAAAACCATGAATCAACAACATATTAAAAATAACGAAGAAAAAAAAAGATGTACTTCATAGAAAATTTATGCGCACAAAAAAATCTAACTGTGTTATCAGATTAATAATAGAATAAAAAAAAGATTAAGATAGCAACTGAGCTACGGCGGGCCATACAGTACTTCTATTATTCGCTATTTTCAAAAAGAAAAAAAAATAACGGATGTTTTGTAGAAGTTAAATTCGATATTACGTGAAGGACGTGCATTTGAATAAATTTCCAAACTTTCAATTCAGAACAAAAGGTAAAGTTCTTGCAAACAGGTTTAATGGTTATTTTGTTGACTTTGTAAATAGCGTTCACTCTAACGAAGCTTCAAGATACGTAAAATGTCTTTCTTCCAGCATATTTTCTTCCAACTGAAGAGGAAGAAGTTATTTTAATTTTTATGAGTCTGAAAAATAGCGGAAGTTCTGATTTTCAGGAAGTTAAAATGAAGCCTGTTAAATAAGTACGTGTAAATTGCTTTTATTGTAACTCGCCTACTTGACGTATGCCTTTAAACTGGTGTTTTCCACTTCCCACGTAAAATACAGGAAGCAAACGTTTCGGTCATGTATAAAGCAGGGGATAGAAATTACCTTAGTAATTACAGGCCAGTCTCCATTTTGCCAATATTTTCAAAAGTATTGAGAAAACAAATCGTACATAAAAGACCTTTTGTGAAGAAAACACTCAATTCTTACTCCCCGGCAGTACGCCGTTCACACATATGCAACCGAACACGACCGAGAGAGACCAGACCGGTTTTTGAGCCTCTTTCAACGTCTTAAGACGAGATGCTCTGCAGCGGATCTGGTCCTAAGAAGTCGCAAGAGGCACAAAAACCGGTCTGGTCCCTCTCGGTCTTACTCGGTCGCAAGAGTGTGAACGGGCCGTAAGAACAAAGCGCTATTAAACTAAAAAAAAAAAAGATAATTCTAAACACGATAAAAAATTGTCTTACATTAGGAATCTTTATAGATATATTTCAAAGGCTTTCAATCATATTAATCACATAACTTTTTGCTTAAAAAACTAGAACTTTATGGTAGTAGAGGAATAGCCTTAAAAATATTCGAATTACTTAGTTTTGCTTGCAAAGTGTATTAATAAAAGGACATTGTTTCGACTCTAGAAAACTAAATGCAGGAGTTCCACAATGCTGTATTTTAGGGCCTCTTCTATTTAATTTGTACACTAATAACATAACTAATATTTACAATGAAGCAAACATGATAATTTGCGCAGATAATGCTACAATATTTTTCGCAAAGTTGACAGGAAATCAATTTCCTGAAAAGCTTTATATGAGGACGGTTCTGAACTCTTTAGTAATAAAGAGTAATACAACGAAAGTTGTGGTTTTCAGGCCAAAGGGAATAAAAATTAGCGGAAATCCGGTTCTCTCTTTAGACTCGTGGGGTATAGAAATTGTACAAAAATGTCACACCTCGGTGTCAGTTCAACGCACACATGCGGTGGGATGAAACAGTTCAGATGATTGACAAAACGCTATCGAATGTTATAGGTATAATTAATACGTATATAAAAAAAAACTCTTTACTCTACTCTTGTTTTAATTACTGTTTTTTGGTATGGGGAAATACTACTTCTGAAAATATTCACGCTATTAATCTAATACAGAAAAAAGTAATTCGTGTTCTGTGCGATGCAACATATTACAGACACACGGCATCGTTATCCGATAAATAAAGAATTGTTCAAATCACAAATTATTATGAGTATAAACTTGCCCTAGTATAGCCCTTCTTCCATTCTCGCAATAAACACCTCATATGCCACCCGCCATGCCGACGCCTGGACGGTCCCACGCTCGAGAACAAACTACGGAAATCGGATGATTAGATACCAGCTTCCCAAAATGTTGAACGATTTTTTATCACTGAATATTAAAATTGAAAATGTTTCCAACAAACGCATATTATCAATACTGGTTTCGTCAGAAATCTGATCATGCATTCTTGAGACCTTTGTTATTTTATCTTTTGAGAGCTTCCTCTGCTGTTGCTGTTGGGGGAGGAGGGGGGGGGGGGGCACTGTGAAGTAGTTCTGTACTGTTCTTCCCCCCCCCCCCCCCCCCCTCCCTCTCTTCTTGTATGAACAGAAAATAAAGGAACCTGAAACATAAAACCGTGCCATATCTCGAGTGGTTCTCGCATTGCTCAGGCTGATCCTGCGCCTCGGGGACTCCATCTGGCTGTACCGCAGCCGGGGCCGGCAGGACCAGGCAGCACTGCTCAAGCGGCACGACCGATTCACCTTCGCCAACGTCATGTTTGTGGTGACCCTGAGCTGCTTTCCACAGGCGGTCTTTCAGACTTCGGAGACCCTCAAGCTGCTCTTCGCCAACGGGGCCCTCCAAGGACGTGAGTGCATGCACAGTGGCATCCACACTGGCTGTGTCCTCTGGTATACAGGGCGCTCAACTTGAAACCCGGTAGCGACTACGAAGTTCTAATAGATATGTTTGCCCAGAAATCAAATAAAGTTCTTAAAAACGGATCATGCAAGTGGCTTCTCTCCTCTCACTCCCTCCTTCTGGAATGTTCAGAGATTGGTTTCGATGTTTTTGCTAGTTTTCGCCTGTTGTAATTTGCGAATAAAACATTAAATCTGTGGTAAAAATACCAACCAACAAGCAGCATACATAGGTAATCCGTCTCTATTACACAGCTAAACATATTTTAACCACTCCTGGAATTGTCCTCAGAGTCATTTCGAACACATTTCACGGCGCGAAACAAAGGCTTTTTTTTTTTTTTTTTTTTTTTTTAATATATATATATACTTGGTTGCATGTGAGGTCCAATGCAGAAACAACGCGCAAGTTCGTCCCAAACAACTTGCTAGTACCTCAAGGGCGCGTTAGACATAAAATAATTGTGTCGACACTTGTCAACCCCTATACAGATACCTCAATATCTCCGTGTTATCAACCAAGAATGAGAATGTGCGATATAATCAAAGAGCTTTTGTCGGTTGCGAAATACGTGTCCTCTGTCTACAACAAAAATATCTACCTCTCCGCAGCAATCTATCTGCAAGCGGTCAACACTCTATCCGCGATCCTGCTCACGGGCTTCGGCTGCATCAAGTTCGAGGAACGACCCCAAAAGACCCCGTACGAAGCCGCCACGGCACGGCGGGCCGCCAAGGCCCTCGCAGAACACGGCGCCTGGCTCCTCGTCATGAGCGCGCGAACACTCTCCCTGGCCATCCTGCTCGCCAAGGCGCCCGAGCCGTCCCACGTCATCGCCGTTTTCTTCGGAATCACCGTCATGATGGAGTTCCTACGGGCCCGGAGGTCCGGCCAACTGAAGCCGCCGATAAAACTCCGCTACTTTGTGGACACCTTGTCCCGGGCGGTCGTGGTCATGTTCTTTAGGCTTCGAGACCGCAACAACCCTCCCGCGCTCAAGTTGTACGTCGTGTTCCTGATCACGCAGTTCACGCAGAGTCTGTTCAGCATACTCCTCCCATTTTTCCAGGAGTACGGACTGAACATCACAAGCGAGGAGTTTAATGCGTACTACTTTCCAAGCTTTGCCACGTGCATCTGGGTGCACTACGGCCTCCTGGTTCCTGGAGGCGCCGCTCTGATCGTGTGGTTCAGGTTGGAGAAGTCGATGGAGTGTTCTCCGTACGCGACCATCTGAAGATACCTTGTGAGCCTTGTTTGCTGTCGATGTTACGTTTCGTCATGCCACCAGCTTTTGGCGACGGAGTCGGCTATGGACCCTTCAGCTGAATTGCTTCCGAGTGCTCGCGCATACTTGATTATTTTCTTTTTGTTGAAATATCACATGTAAATAATGCAGTTGTTCAATGAATAAAATTGCCAAAGCTTCGACGCTCGCTCGACTTTCTTCCGAGATCTCATGTAGTGGGACAGAGTAGCTGTGGAATGACTTGAAACGCACATTATGGGTGCCATGGTTCTTACTTTTATGTGCAGTAATTTGGGGGTTCTCCATCTTTCTTATCTCAACGAACACCTACCTGACCTGAATAAAAGGGACCCCCCCCCCCCCCCCCACACGCACACGCACACGCACACACACAGACACGCACACACACACGCACACTCACTCACTCACTCACTCACTCACTCACTTCAACGTATGGCATTGTTGCAGTAACGCAGCTCACAAGTCACAATAACGCCCACGTTGACGAGTGTTTTGCACATAGATCTTTCCCCTTTGCATTTTGATAACTGTCACCAGGCAGTGAAGACTTGAAGGACCGAACAAAGTATGCAAAATTATTAAAAACATGTACCCTTCCACGCTCTTTCCCTGGCGAGGAAGTCGCCAATTTTCCTCTGTGTTCCTTTTTTTTTTTTTTCTTTAATTCTGGGAACGTACACATGCACTGCTTCAGGTTGGGAGGAGTGCTTTTCCTAAGCACTCGGCTACGTTGAGGCAAAGCGAGACAAACAGCACCGCAATGTTTACTGGGAGTTAGTTCCCCCCACTGCACCAAAGAGAGATGAAAAGCGCACTCTATCCTCTCCAAACAGACCCTAAACAATGATAAATATTGCAAAACATGCGAGAACTACGAGAGTTTGATACAGGATATAATCAAACAGTATATTGATTAAAACGTAAGCAACCGGAAGTGTAGCCGAGCCTAAGCTATGGAGAGTTTCAGTAAATGGCCCTCATATGATGCATGCATAAAGGCGGGGGCAGAGTATTGGGTCTCTTTATATCGGAACCATCTACTAAAACACCCTATTAGTTACAGTATCAACAAGGCAAAATTGACTTTTAGCACAATGTTGGGACACATTTCTTACATCTTCAATAAATTGTAGCAGGGTGGCGCTTTGGTACAAATGGTGCATCAAACACATCACTGTACTGGCATGTGGCGCCGCATAATCTCTACTGGATGATGCATGTGTATGACCAGGGGCGGATTTAGAGGGGTGGTCCGGATGTCCTGACCCCCCCCCCCCCCCCCCCCCACCCCTTTATTTCTGCTTGTGTAAATTTTAGGGCGTAAAACGAAGGAGAGGGGGAGGGGGTTCCTAAACATATGGTACGCTGACCAACACCTGACCCCCCCCCCCCCCCCCCCCCCTCAGGAAATTCCTGCATCCGCCCCTGTGTATGACCACAGGTTAGCAGTCGTATTGCACTAGCCAAATTGCTCACATACAGCAGAGAGAGTAAGTACCTTTTGTGGGTTTGCCAACTTTAATCCCCAAAGTCCTCATTGAGGTAAATACCCATTTCGTAGTCCGCTCTTTGCGCGGCTGCGGCCGGGTCCGTCCATTGATTGCCTTTTTGGGGGTACCGGTGGACGAGAGACAGCACTAACATTGCGAGTCCGTTTTCCACGAGTTTATAGGAGAATTGTAGTAGACTGTTTCCGCAGCCCGCTAAGCACCCGGATAGCGCTCCGTAATCCGCCAAAAGACCTTTAACTATGCAGACAAAGCTGGCGGCGCGCATGCGCAGCTGCGGCGTTTTCTTCACGGATAGCGGAGGAGAAAAACGGTCTACTACAATTCCCTATTCAACTCAAACGCCAACACGCTTCGCTCATAGGAAAAGTCTGGGCGCTGGCTCATGGACCTTTTGTAGAAACATCGGTTCGAGAGTAAATGGTACCATACCCTCTCTCCCTTCTGGGTGAGAAGAGAGGGAAGATGGTTTCTTTCTGTTGACTTCGGGGCAGAAAATAACCCACGATGGAGACAAAGGCGAATTTGGGGGAGCCGTATCTAGGTCACAGCGGCTCAATGGGCGGACATGATGTAGCTGACGATTTGTCTAGGTGACAGCACATATTCGCCAAAAAAATGTATTGCCACTATCATCCGCTCGGTTTCTCGCGCTGTCGCAATAGACAGGTTCACGGGAATTCGGAGGCCCTCAAAGAAAAACCGAGCTCCGTAGAGCCAGGGCCTCTGCCGACGAGAGCCCCCGGCCCTCTTTCGGGGCCGGCTTATGTAGCCTGCGGGAATATGGACGCGCCCAAGGAGGCCGGTAGTAGGTCACCCGAAAAACGGGTCGCGTCCACTATCACTCCCAAACGTGCGCCGGCGGTATATTATCCCTACGTGGGCGAGGGAGAGCCGTCCCCTTCGGGGAATACAGCCTCGGTTCCCGCATTCGGGTAGACGCCGCCATTTGTGACGACGACTAACACGGCCTGCTTGAAGCTAGGCCTAGATAGGGATATAGGGAACCCCGTGGTTCCCACACATTTGAAAGTAAATGAACATCTCATTATCTAAAAATCAATACAACAAACCTTGAGGGTACTCTGGAGAACCAATAGGGTTCAACAAATCCAGTTTTAGAACCAAAACTAGAATAACCCCAAGTAGCACAAGAGGTGGAGCCCATGTGAGCCCCAACTCTTGTGCTACGTGGGACAGGCTAGTTGACGATCGCAAGGGTGGTATGAAGAACTCGAAGCTTCAAAGTTGCAACCAGCATTTTCTTCAAAAGGCTTAGCCTTGAAGAAACTTGATCTCATTGAACCACTGGCTACCGCTTTGAGCCTTCCTGGAGGGCCCTTTTAACATACCTACTTGCTCAGCTGTAAAATTACAAGAGGACGCTTCCATGAGCGAATGAATTACTTCATAAAGTGAAATCATTTAAGACATGTGGCGACTTTTAATTCAGATTACACGTCGTTTTTTAATCGCTTTCATTCCACACGTGACGTCACGTTTCACGTGAACGTTGTTTAAAATTCCCGCGCGAGGTCATGTGGCTGTGACGTCATGACCCTATCGACCAATCAAAATTTTCCCGTCACAACACTGACGCCGACGCCGGCTTTTCTGCGACATGAGCTCCCTAAAGGGGCAGTGCAACAATTTTCAGACTTTGGCCAATTGACTGCGGAAATTAATCTGTGTCACCCACGGAACGAAGGACAGAAAACCGTATTTTCTTGCAAGCGCTAGTTTTTATGTAAAAAAAGAAATGAAACAAATCGAAGGTCAAAGTGCCTCTCAACTCTCCACGACGCCTTTGGAATGACGTACTCTGGGGGATCACCTTGTTTCCCCTTGGGTTCTCTCTTCAGAGACCCCAGCCGCTTTAAAGGATTATCATCGTGGAAGTTCGCGCCGAGGGATCGACAGAAAAGACAGTTCGCCACAAGGGTGACGGCGAGTGTAGCAGCGGAGGGGTAATGTGACCACCCGTCCCGCGACTCGCGGGACTGTCCCGCATTGAGGGCTCGTGTCTCGCGTCCCGCGAGAAATTAAAAAATCTTCAAACTGTCCCGCATTTCAGTCGTAAAATTCACTCCGCAACTCGCGTTAATGTGTGTACATTTATTTTACCTTGTTTGTATAATTATTGTATAAAACTTAACCATGCAGCCCCCCCCCCCCCCCCCCTTATGTAATGCTCTCACGAGGGCCTTAAGGGTATTTGAATAAATGGTGCTGCCGAGCAACGGGGCACGGGGGATCCCGGAGGTCGCTTGTAATCGTGTGAACCGTGATGGTACGCCATTTTCTATCGAAGCATTGCGGGAAGCGACCGTCGTTCTTGCAGGAGATCCGACGCGCATGCTCTGTTGTGCCTCCCCCCTTGGTGGCAAAATATTCTAAAAAAAAATTGCTCGCCAAAAGTTTAAATAAAAATATTGTAATTATTTTCAAATCGCAGTATCAATGCGAAAGGGTTGCTGTGAATTTTGTTTTTAATGAAGACAGCCACACAAGGCAAAAAAGGCCTGCACCTCACAACGGTCGAAAAAGAACATGATGTTAAAAATTTGTGTGACCATGTTGATGAAAGTAAGCGTTGCCTGAAAACAATAACCCGAAAAATATTTATTGTTTCTTATTTCCATTTGATGGATTAAGTTCTGCCACAGTCGATTTTTTATGTTTTCAACTTCGACACATTTAATATCATGTTTGGCATATAAAGCAATATATCAATGGGAGTGAACATTATTTAAGCTTAATTGCTACGATACAATTAGCAGGTGTATAAACTGCACAGGATATTCAATGTGTGAACAGGGCTTCGGTTCGTGGTGTGCGTGTTAATAAATTTCCTCCACCCACCTGCCCCATCTGTCGCGCATTTCGCTAGCAGGAAGGTGGTCACCGTAGGAGGGGGACACGTTTTGTTCACTTCCGCGCATACACATCAGTTACATTAACCACCATAAGGGGTTGCAGATCGGCAAATACTCCGTTTTTCTCTTAGCGATTAAGCACCGGAATAGCAGTTTTTCGAGCGAAGTGACGCGTTTTTGGTCACGTGTGCATGGATAAATAATATAAAAAAATACAAATTGCCAATTCTTTCAACACTAAAATCGTTGCACTACCCCTTTAACCCTTTCCTGACCGCGCCCCTAAGCCATCAATCACCGGTGACCGAAGGTCTCCATGCGTCGTCAAGAAATTAAATTTAGTGCGGAAAATCGTTTCACAATCTCGTGGATAGCCAAAGAACTCTAGTTTCGGTTTCAACGTAGGTTTGAGCTTTACCACAAGCTGGTGGGCTGTCAAAAGTAGTCCTGGGAGCAGTGGTTGCACTTGTATAACATGGCTAACCACATGCATCAGTCTTGTTACTGCTTGCATCAGTAACAAAAATGGCCTTATTTACATAATTCGAATGTATTGTGGCATATCTTTTAGACCTCAAGAGCTCTGGGCACACATAAAATTATGTTATAGGTGTCGCTTAACAAATGTTTGTCAGTAAGCATCACTATAATTTTCAATGCTGTCCTGAGCCAGTGTGCCCTTTTTATGTTCCCAACAAGGCAGACAAAAATGCTAAATATGAAGAAGCTGCAATCAAGGCTATTGCAAAACCAATGTAGAACACAAAAAGAAAGAAGGAATTCTGCGGGGGATGCGAGGTGTACTATCTGTGTTTCACCAATATAAGCATTCCTTCCTTCAAAAGCATGTGTTAAGGAGGCTACCTCTCCAACAAACTAAAAAGAGACGTCAGTCAGAGTACCCAACTAACTTTCAGAAGAAATAGCTGTGGGTGTAGGGCATATTTTGTATATTTAGAATTTTTGTTATTTATCGTTTAATTTTACATAGCTGTAGATGTTTCAGTGTTTATATGGCTTCCGCACATACTTTGTGTTTTAAAGAAATAAAATTTTAACATCTTTTTCTCACATTATAATAACCTCTTTCTTTTGAAAGAACAACTAACTGGCCACATGTTGATGTGTCATATTGCTCCATACGCTAGTTAGGAAAATAAAAGCATTTGCATGGATACCTTGAAAATTGGTACTTTTCCTGTGGTGAAGAAAGAGATACAAAAACAGTTTGGCCAACATTGTGAAAACTTTTCGGTGAGGCTTTTATTAGTCCCACAGATTTACAAGTTTCAATTTGTACATCCTAATCTTCATTCTTCGTCGCTGCTTCCAGAGGACACGTTTGGGTTGCTGAAGAATGTTGGAATGCTTGTGCGGCTGGCAGACCCCGACTCCTCTGGAAAGTGTACAATGGCACTCTTTGAACCGAATTGTGGTATCTTCCCAAAAACCAGCGAAGCCTTTACAATGGATTTTAGAACGGCAAGTCGAAATGGCAAGTTTGCCAGAGGCGTGCAATTTCTAAAGTTCCCAGCATTGTCGAAATTGAAAGCCCGAGGTGAACGCTTATATTGTCTTGTAATCTATAAACAAATATTTAGATAAAAAAAAAATCATACTAGAAGAGCCAATTGAAAAGTAATCTTTAATTCAAGATTCAATGACTCCACAGGCTCTAGGTCAGTTTTCCTTTACAAAATAGCATCCTTTACATTCAATATATTAGAGAGAATGTTAAAAAAATCTGTAAAAGAATGTTCTCCGAAACAATTTTCAATGTTGCAGCTGCGACATTGTTAATCCACATTGCACAAGAAACTTCTTTAATGCAGTTTTTTTTTTTCAGTGTTAAAATGGAAATGTTTGAAGTTTACATCTTCATCCTATGCCCCATGACATGTGTGAGGTGCCTTTGCTCTCTGCTACAGAACACTTAATTTAAGACTATGATGGTTCAACTGCAATTCAGACTTGTGGATGTATTACCTTCAGAAGTGTCATCCCCAATACCGTCTATTTCCCTCCTTGCAAAACACAAAACGAGTCTCATTACCCCTCAATCAACCCTCAAACATCCACTATTTAGTACATTGAAATGAACCTCAGGGTTATTTTAAGGTGTCTGAATAATTAACACGAACTACAATGAACGAGAAGGGTGTTTCAATGTGGATAGTTGAGCATATTGCTGTCTAAATTATGAAAACGAAAGAGGGACAATATCAACGACACGGGATTCCTACTTGCAACAAAACATTTAATGGCCTCAACTTCAAATTTTTGGTGTTTGACTGAAATTTTGTGTATTCACAAAATTTCAGTGGGGCAAACCAGACAGCACGAAAACACCTTGTGAAAATTGCATCGCAAGATAAACCATTTTCGTGAAACCTGAAAAAAGCCAAGCACCAATAGGGAGTTACAGTATTGATCTTGCACACCAACAACAATATCCTATGTGGGTGATTGAAATGGAAACCTTAGAAGTGCAATAAAATTCCGAAAAGTTATATGACTGATTCAATATTTGGTGGGAGTTATCCTTGGGATTCAAAAAATGACCAACAGGTGGGAGTATGCTGCTTCAACACAGAAGGAAGTAGTGTCAGTGCAAAGATGGCCACCCCATTATCAACGTGCACTGTGTTAGAAAAGCGATCTGTAATGTGTTTTTTGAGTAGCGAAGGTGTTAAACCAGCCAAAATTCGTCGCAGGACGAAAGTGCAGTAAAGTGATCCGTGTGCATCTCTGCAACGAGTGTACGAGTGGACCAGAAGGCTTAAAAGCGGCAAAACTTCTGTGGAGGATGCCCCGCAACCGCGCCGGGCACACCGCATAGTGACGAACGAAAACATTGCTGCAGCGGAAGCGCTTCTGAAGGAAAACAGACGTATCAATGCAGAAGAAATAGCCACTATTTTAAATATCAGTGTTGGGTCAGCACACAGTATGTCCATGATGGCTGAGAGAAGCTATGGGAGGCAAGCATTTAGGAAGCAATGATGAGGTGAAAATTGCAGAGCACAAATGGCTACATTCTCAACCAAAAGAGCTTTTCTCACAAGCTATCCTTGCACTTTCGAAGCTGTGGATAATGTGCACTGCACGTCATAGGGAGTATGTCGAAAAATATTTTATGTACAATTTTTCTATATTTTCTCATTTGCCTCATAATAAATAATTAAGGTTTTCATTTGAGTCACCCTCGTACATGATCGGGCAACAATTTATATTGCACTTTTAGTAGATCGTAGAAATGCCAATTTCACCAAGAGGCATGACAGTACCCTCTGGTAATGACGTCAGAAACTCCCGAGCTAGAATAAAAATAATCTAAACAAAAGTACCAGTACACTATAGTATAAATAATCTCCCTGGAGAAAAACAAAACAAATATTTTGTGTCATAAACCACTGCTGCAAAGTAGTCGTTCTAGGAAAAACAAAAAGCAGAAATGCAAGCCAGCCAAGTTTAAAGAGCATCCTGAAAAGTGTTGTTTCGCACCGAAAACAGCCGACAGCCCCGTCCCAGTGCAATGGCAATGGGGAGTTGCAAAAACCGACCTGGTCACCAAAAAGGGAGTCGAGCCAGCAACGGATAATGTAGGACGACACCATAACAGTTCCTCTCTTGGGAGGCAGTCTAGTGGGTGTTTCTGGGACTGGCTTGTCACTCGGAAGAAAAACTTCGCTCAACGTATCTACAGTTTCCCTGGCTCCAAAGTAAGGGATTCCTCCCTCCCCAAGTTTGCATTAGTCGGCTTCGGGTAACAGGAAAGATTACCGGGATTGGAATGGTGAGCGTGTTGGCATTCTTTACCAATATGCTATGCCACTATGAAACTTAGTTTTTAATGTTTTGATATTGCCAGTTTTGTTTTGTATCTGCTGTGATTTGGCACAAAGAGCAAGCTGCACTTGTGCAGTCGACCGGAGCAGTGCATCTGCCTCGTACACTGCCTTTGTCGGCTCGGGATGTTGAACCTCGGCCTGCGACGGGGCAAATTGCTAACAGTCACCAGGGGCCCTAGCCTCGTCAAATGCAAAATTGGAGCCGAAAGTTTGTGGAGCGTGCTGACTGAACTTTGACGACAAAATGATGTTATTGTCGTTGCAAGAGTCCAATCGGCTTGCTCCCTAAGCTTCCGCCCAAACTCAGCATTTGATGAGTCAAGGGCCCCCAGCTTAGGGTGCTCCACTTTCACTCACTCTGCCACACCGCACTGCTACAGTGTGTGGTGCCATCTCTCCTGTACCTGCCTTTCTGCTGTAATTTGTCTAAAAGTATTTTGGTTTTCTCAGTTATGCATTTTCCCAATCGCGTCTTGAATTTATAATTTTTCATTGGTAATGTGTGCCTGCATGCAAAGTGTCTGCGAGTCAAGCTCGTTGCTTGACCTTTTCTTGAGCTGTTCCATTAAACATTGGACATGTGTGTGTGCTGCACAAAAAAAAATGTAGTGCTGTGCAAATGTTCAAAATTTTGAATAGCAGACTATTTGAGATATTCACTTCGATATGAACTGCGATACTTATTATTTTCGAAGGGCTGATCGCGGCTGGTTAGCCCCAACGAATGCACTTCTTACGGAGTACAGGTGCACTGCAGCGAAGCAACATCAAAGGAAGCGAGCTCCACAATTGTTGCTTCACCGCAGTGCACTGGTGCTCTATAAGAAGCTCACTCAAGGGGTTACTCGCCGCGATCAACACTTGGAAAAGTATGAATATTGCAATAGCGGCCGTGGGGAAAAAGCACACTTTCAAAGTGGGATGGTGCATGCACGTGCCTGGTGTATTTAAAAAGAAACAAAAACTTTGTGAATGCTCATATCTATATTGCAGTAAAATTTTCAAAATTAAACTGTGGTTGTAAAACAACTAAAAGTAGACGTTAGGCAGAGATGCCCCGATAATCTGCACGTTCATCACTCTGGATTATTTTTGTTTTTCCAATTAGAGATTGAAGAATGAAAAGTTTCATATAGCAAGATTTGCAAATCCACTCCATTAAGTATAGCTGGGCATCTCTATAGGTTTAATTTTATGTCAAATCCGTCATTTATTGGCCATCCCAAGGCATTTAAATTTCTGAGGTCACAGTTCATAAATATAGCTAGATTAAAATTAGCTTATAAATGAACAAGTGGAAGCATGAGCAACATTAACGAGTTTAGCTGGGTTTTTGTTTAGGTGCAATAGTAGTGAAAAATTCGGAGAAACTATTCGATTTCAAAAATATTCGGCCAATACTGCTACTTGATTCGAACTCAACATGCACTATTTGCACGACTAAGAAATACCCCTCTTGCTCCCTTTCTACAGTCGAATCTCATTAATTCATACTCGAGGGGGACCGAAAATTTGTGTGAACAAAGCAGAGTTTGAATTACCGGAAGTTTCCTCCCACAGAAACACATAAGATGGGATTTGCGTGTTAGTTTGAATTATCCGCAAGTTTGAATAAAGACAGTATGAATCAACGAGATGTGACTGTACCGCATTGAAACTCCGCTTATCAAGGTGTAAAACTACTGCACAACAAGAAGTGTCCCTTAAAAAAAAAGTTTTGTTAAGGACACATTGCAACGGCAAGTGCCACCACCAAAAATCCGCGTGTATTCCTTCTCTGCAAATTAGAGTATTGGGCGTCGTTATCGGCAATGCAAAAACTAGAACTTACAAAGAACATCAGTGAATCTCCCGCCTAGCAGAAACAGTTCCCGAACCACATCCAATGTCACTCACCGCACTTGATGATGCGAAACCCGGTTGCATGCTCCTTCAGCACAACCAAGAATGTCGGATACTCTACGACGACCTTCCCCTTGAGGCAGTCTTCGAGACTCGATGAAAGGTCAAGGCTGTAGTAACTGCGAGCAGAGCGGGAGGATACAGCACGGGTCGTCTAGTCGGTTGGGACTAAAACGGAGGGGTCACGAGTGCCAGCAGCCCAACGGTTCTGCCAAGAAAACTGCGAGGCGCAAACGAAAGGCACTGACAAACCGCTGTCTACGACCAAAATATGAAGTCGGGCTTAAACCATAAAACGTTACTTGTCCGACACTCACCCCCTGGCGATTGAAACAAACAACTTACTATGTATATTGAATAATTTCTGGTCAACTTTTTCCAATGAAGCGTAGATCTCTTTTAAAGACAGGGGACATACTCACCATGGCTGTGATGCGGGCTGGCCTTCGACTGCCAGCAGAACGCATACCCCCCTGGTGCCGGCAGCCTGGTAGAACTGCAGAGGGGACCGAAGCTCTGGCTTGCACTGGTCGCCGTCCAGGTGCTTTTCCAAGCACCGACCCAAGCTCTCTTTTTCATGAATGCTGTGCCGAGAAGAAGGGAGGCATTGCATTGAGTCTTCTTATATAAAAGTCGCCAACAGCTGTAGAATGACAGGAGACATCCCGTCATCGAAAAGAGACTAGTGTAAATGCATTAATTTTTGCTAATTTCATGACCAGTAAACCATAGCGAAAAATCAATCATGCAAATACATCACCACGTGATAAGGACGTAACACACCCAATCGCGTAATTTTGTGCCCGAAAAATATTTCCGAAACACATGCTTCGTAAAATTCCCGAAACATAGAGCCTGCGAAAATAAAGTAATTTATGGTAATCGTTTTTGCTTGAATCTATGATGGCCGAATTTTGTGCCACCTTTGAGCTTGTCTTTTAGAAACGGTTTTATTTATTTATTTACATTGTGCCTACACTGCCTCAAGGGCATTATTGAAGGGGGCATCACTGTACATCCTTTTGTGAGCCAATTTGGTTACAAAAGCAGCCACATACCGTACATTAAAAGTGTAAACAGAAAATGGGAAATCAAAAAAGAAATTTCACAAAGCAGCAATTGCTCAGCAGCTTGACATGCAAAAATGATGACTGGAACCAGCCTGTTGCTTAGAGAGAAACACATACGGATAATTTTTAGTTTACTTTTGGCAGCGTACAGACAACAGCAGCGACCTTGGCCCACCGACAACAGCACGCCTTAGATGGAGTCGGAAAACTCAAAACACTGCGACGAATTCCATTGTCCTTTATGAAGGAACTCCCCGGAGGAACTTAAACCCGCAGTTAACATTTCGAAAGACAAGTTCCCCAAGTCTCGGCGAAATGCCTCAAAGTAGCAGTCGAGCTTTTGCCGATGTAACCGGCATTTTGCAGATGCGGCCGACATTTTGCTTACGCTACGAAACATTGGTTGCTGCTTCGAGGCTTCAAATGGGTTCTTTCTCAGATTTCCTTCTAGTACCAGCTTTGACTATACACCTTCATAATTTGCCCAAGAACGGACTGACCTCTGCTCCTCCTTGATCTTGACGTTAGCTTGCACGAATTCCCAGGCCACCTGCCAGTAGATGCACCTCTCCCTAAAGTTGAAGCAGGACCTGTTCTCCTGGCGCTTTGTGAAGCATTTGGGCAGGAACTTCAAGTCTGTCCCACGACGCTTCGCCTCGTTCTGGAACTTGTGCAGAAACTGGAAAATGGCAGGTGCAAAAAGACCTTTGTTTCGCCTGTGCAATGAAGCGCCACCTCAGATCGACAACCATCTGTGTATGTTCCGAAATTCGGAGCGAGGTACGTTCCTATATATGTAGAGGTCTTCTGGGGCAGGATTTACCCCTCCCCTAAAAGAAATAAGAAAAAGATTCACAACAGACCCAACTTTGGCATGATCTGTAAGGAAACGGAGGCCGGATTCTCAAAGCGAACTTACGGCGAAAAAAGTGTGTACGACAAATTTGAGAACAAATCCCTATTCTCGAAACAGAGTTGTCGTAACTTTAGCGTAGGTTACGACAGAATCTTCCGACAGCTACGAAGCTGCCTTACGCACTTTTTATGATCAAATCAACATGGCCGACAGTGTCGCTCAGTTACTTGGTTGACTTTGTAGCGATGACCAATGGACATTTATTTTTCTAGGTGCTCTTTGCGCGCGTCCCGACTTCAAGCAGCAAGAAAAAAGGAAGAAGTACTTGAAACCGATCACGACGAACATGAACGCTGGATATACAAACACCCGGGAAAAGCAACAAAGGCAACAGTCCCACCGACCAAGCGAGCTCGGCAGAATATAGGCCTAGCATGCACTCTGTTCCGGCGCAGCATTGCTCCGACGGTCCTTGGTCAAGACCGTCTGCCCACGACTGGCTGGCTTGCTGAATGGAATATGCCTGCGCGACCCTTGCAGACCCTTCCCGTAGTATAGTTTGATCGCTGAACTAAATTTCAGAGGTCAATCTCTTCCCCTTGTCATCTCAATCTCCTTGTTTTCCTAAGCAGCGGTGACAAATGCTGTCGTCAAAAAGGGACTCTCATTGATTCTATCTCTTTGTTTTGTGTGATATAGAGTTCAAATAAATGACATATGGATTACTTCACAACACAGTATGTACACTTTGTTATTGGTATGCCATTTTTATTCTGACATGACGCTACGTCACTGTAGAGCTATAACAGTTCGTGGGAGCTACGCGATGCCGGTCCAACCTTTCTTTGCTGAGTGTCACGTCAGTATCGAGTTGCAATAGTAAAAGATTGGATCCCGAAGAGTTTACCAAGACACAGTCTAACAGAGTGAATCCAGCACTTCGACCAAACGCGCGAGTGCGAACAGGTATTTGCGTGGCTCTTGCTGACACTCTCGTAGTTCAAATGTATCTTTTTTAACGTCGGCTCGCTCCTGCATTTCCAGAGGCCGCGAAAAACGCCGCGGCGGTTTGTTTCTATTTCCGTCGCTTTGCAAACAACTGGCACAGGGCTTTTACCAACGATGACAGTTGTGTTGACTTCATAGTGATCGAGTTCGCAGCAGTCAACGAAACGTTTAAATCGTGTTAGCGTCGATATATCACTGCACGGACACGAACCCCAGACAAGCGGTGGTGGAAAGGCCGCCTGTGTTTATGAGAACCAGCTTAAACACTAAACATTTACACAAAGACAGGATAGGACATACACAGAGCTGACTATCAATAAGTAGTTAACCTGTGTTTGTTATTAAAAATCCACATGCTCCGAACTATGCCGAGCTCTCTGATTGGTTGCTCGTGCTGCCGAAGATACTGTTGCCATAGCAACAGCACCGGAAGTCGTTTCTCCGTAAGATGTCGCAACTTTTCTCCTCTCACTTAAGAATGCGTTTGTGAATACTGTTCTCGCCTCATCTTATGATGATCGTAACTTTACAAACTTTATAGCTAAGTTGTCGTAGGTAAGAGGTTTTTTACGAATCTGGCCTCAGTTCCGTAACCGTGTCGGCTGAACGGCGGTTTGGGCGCAGAAAATTCCGACAAGATGCTACTAGTATTCCAGCACGATCCGCCCCTCGTCAGAGCTGTCGAAAGTTACTCTATAAAATTATTTGTGTTATAGCTACTTTTGTTGGAATACAATAGAGTTGCAAACAATATTGTTTTTCAAATGTAAATAACCTTTTAAACGATTGGTTTTTCTTTTTTTCCCAAAAGGTGTTTTTTAGTGGTTGGATTTTGTTTTCAAAGCAATAGTATAAAGCAATGGTAAATTCACACATTTTTTTTTCCTAATTATCTAGCGAGAGCACACATGGGTGCAGCAAGCTATCTAGGTTTAGAAGCCTCAAATGGAAATATTAACCCATTCAATGCCATTTTGTTTTTGTTGTTTTCTGACTGCTCCTCGCCCCCTGTCGGGTTTTTCTCCACAATGATTCCTGAACATGATTGGTCCAAAGTGTGCTCCTGAGGGTGAGCCACACTTTTGCCACGTGAGCATGCTCTCTCGCGCATACCCACGTGCAAAGAATGAGGTCAGGTGATGAAAGGGAGGAGGCTGATTAATCTGGCAAGTGCGTAGCTTCCACCAGAATGTCAGCTTAGGGTTGAAGGGAACAAGTGAGGTCCGGTGTCGTGTGACGTGTGTTTGGGCCCGATGATGCGCTGCGAAGGCCCGGTGACGTGCTGTGGGGACCGCGGATGTATCACACTGAAAAGGCCGAGAGCTTACGAAGGGAAGGAGGTACGAAATAGTCCGCTGTGTTTTCAAATTTTCTTAGTGAAAGTCAGGCTTTTGACTTCCTACCTTTTTTTCTTTTGGCCCACTGAACGATGTGCTATTAGTAAAATCCCAAAATAAATCGATTTATTCCAGCCTAAAATTCGTTTCATGGGCCCTTTAAAAAGCAACACGAGTATACTCGGGAGTAGCAGAGGCTGTGCATGGGTGGAGTCCACAGTTATCTCGGGGGTGGCAATGAAAGGGTTAAGGAAGAAAAGCAGTCACCTTTCTTCCATTTAGTTTCATTCTGAAGTGCCCACTTCCGTGACGTTCCACCGGTTTCAGATTCGGAACTGGAGGTACTTTACAGAGCTTTTTCATCGGATGGTAAGCTCTCATAACGAGAATTCAGTACTGAGAGGCGTTAGTAGTCTTGGTCGGAAAAGCCGGCGCTCCAACTGCCCCTGCCGCCAGAGCAGCCGACCATGCGATGCGACCCTCTCGCACATATCATGTGCATGATGCGGAGCATCTAATTTCAAAACTAAGAAAAGTCCCAGCAAAGCGAAACATTCTGCAAATACAACGCTTATAGTTCGCCAAACACATAACAAACAGCAGCAACACCTCTCGCGGTGCACGCAGTTTGCATTTAGGCAGGCACTTTCAAACGAGCAATCGCCGCCATACACGTACAGCGACGACCGTCAAAGGGTTGATGATAGTTAAGGCCTAGCCACTCTAGCGGCGTGAAGGCTTGGTGCCCGCTGCAGGTTGCCAGCCAAGACCAATTTTTGCCCTCGGCGGCTTGCCGGCCATCCAAACAACTGGCCCGCGCATGGTTGAGGGCTCGCCGTTTCTTGTTGGAGAAGAAGGGAGCCAATGGGAGCCGGCGTAGATAGCGACGTTGCGAGGCTGTGGCAACGCGCAAGCCGCTTCTCTGCGCGTCTTTCACGACACAAAGGAGCGTAGCGCGATTTTATCTGCAATCTCTATTTCCCCTTGATGCCTTCCCCGACGGAGCGGTTTCTCGAAACCGTGTGACAGTATAAATGGTGGACACTTGTCACAACCAATTTGACCACTCACTCTCGAAAGTAGAATTTATCTCTGGTGCACAGCCGGGGCAACAAAGCATTGGCCTGTCCCTCGGTGTTTCGGCAGCTGCAACGTTGCAGGACAAACCAGCAGGCTAAGATTATCATATTCACGCCGATCACCGGGTCATTGTCGAAACATGCCAGGTGGGCAGTGAGTGCGGTTTTGACGCTGATCTATGCGAAAGATGAGAGCCAAAACGCAAGAACCTAACGAAGGGCAGATTACGAAGGCGCAAAAAATCAGGCCGAAGCGCGCGCACAATCTTGAGCAGTCGAGGAAACGCGAGATCCAGTGCTGTCATGCGACTATAACGGCAGCAAAACGGAGGCCAATGTGGCTCCCTCACGTTGGGATGCCGAACAGTGGTGCCACCCAGCAGCGCCCGGCGCCGACCGGTAAAACCGTTACCGCTTGCGTGGTCAGGCCTTTACAGATATGGATGCCACAAACGGTGACAAACCTGCCAAAGTTCGAGCTAGACTAGGTGTGACTTCTAATTTTAGAGTAAAGCTTAAAAAAAGTTAACGACGGAAGTTTGGTTATTATGTGCATGAGCAGAAATTGAAAATGAGTTGAAGCCACCTAGGGAAGGAGGGGGTGCAACATTTATTATGTATAAGCTGTTTCATTTTAGCAATCCAACTAAACTATTAAAAGTTTGTTTGCTTTCATATTGTCTAAACATGAAAAATTATTCTCTGAAGCTTAAGACACACTACTGCAGTGGTTCTCAACCATCCATGTTTCGCGGACCCCTTGTGGATCGGCGGAGATAATGGAGGACCCCGTTCGTAGTGAGGGGAAGGGTTATAGGTTAAATATAATAATGATTAAATAAATGGATATAACGAAGGGCTAAAGTGAAGTATACTTGTCTTGTTGATATACACACGAGAAAACTCGCCCGAAAACTGAAACATTTCTTCTAAATCTGAAAAAAGAACTTTTATTGCCGCGCTTGACTGATAAGGTGGGGCTTCGCGGACCCCTAGAATGCCTTCGCAGACCCCAAAGGGTCCGCAAACCCCCATTTGAGAACCACTGCACTACTGTATCAATTGCTTCTCCTCGAAACTTGAAATGTTTCGTGTGGAAGTCGGGCAAAACTATTTAAAATGTCAAACGTCTTGAACTTTGCCAAAAGTTTGAAGGTTCTACAACCCAGTTGAACCTCAAGGTTTGAAGTCACACCTCAGGTTTGACAAAAGTTCTCAACGTCCTAAGTCACGCTACATAGTAATTGCATTTAAAATATTCCTAACATCAAGGTATGCCGCGACTTTCGACCATCTCGAAAAAATATTAACCAATTTATTCAAGTTTGCAACTAATTACCATATAACTTAAATACTTTTAATTAGCTATCTTGCACCTCTGCTTCTAGTAGATTTCTCCAACGAACACTTACCCCTGGGATGTTACGCTGTTGGGGAAAGATCCCTAAGACGGGCTTCTCTCGGTATGCATTGTCGACAACTCTGGAAGACTCCTCGAGGAACCTGTAATCTGGAAGGCAATGACTTCACCTTTCAGCAGTTCACTTGAACTTTAACGAGCAAATCTAATCACACCACGCACATGGGCAGCAGGTTTGGAATGCTGTGGTTCCCTCTCCCAAGCCCAGCGAGACAGTGTGTTCTAGGGCAGCGGTCGAAGAGGGCTTGGCATGCTCTCCTAGCCAACCAGAAGCCGAAAAGAATCCCCTAGTGGTGGTAGCGATAAGCAGTTTAATCATAGGTATATGGTTTTAATAAGCGCGTAAGAGTTAAATGTACTAGCCCTTCATAATTGAAAATAGGGTGCATGTGACGTTTCGATTATGATCATGCAGAAAGATGTAAGAAACGAATGTGCCGCTCAAACTCTGTTTTGCTTGGACAAAGTGTGACTGCTCAGATGGCCGATTCCCGGCCCTTTGCGCCTGGCGGGACAATTATGTCAATCGTCCCGCTAGTCGTGCTCTTCCACCATGGTTTTGGATGACTGTGAATGAAACATCACGTGCACCATATTTTCAGCCATCGAGAGTTACTCCGATGCACTTATTAATCTCGTTTCTCGCGACCACTGCCAAAGCATTATTACGGCTTTTGGTTGGCCACATTCGAAATTGTGAAGACCCCCGGAACACGCCCAGCATGCTTTCAGCCAATAGCGTCTCCTCTTTGCTTCCTATACTTCCCAATGAATGGCCAAACTCTCTGTAGATAAGGCTCTGGGTACAGCCATCATTATCCATCTGTACCTCCATCCACCCACAGTTCCCCCTCAACCTCCCCCCCCCCCCCCCACCAAAAAAAAAAAAAAATCCTGGGTATGCTACTGCATTCAATCAAACCAATCTCAGTGCACGAGTTCTAGATATAAAAGCCTTGTTGTGAACGGTGGTGTTTGTGCACTGCGACAGCCATGCTTTATTCGATTATTGCTGCAGATTTGTTCCCGCGCTAAGCGGTTCTATATTTGTTGCAGTTCTGTTCACAATAACTATCAATTAAAGCCACAAAAAAAAAATGCGAGCAAATTAAAGGTAGATGGTTTATCCTTGGTGGCAGGCACGTAGCCAGGATTTTGTTTCAAGGAGGAGAGAGAGGGGGGGAGGCCACCCATGACAAAATGCTCTATGAGGGGGAGGGGGGCGAGGAGGACCCAGCAAAATGAAGGATTTCTGGGGGAGAAGAGATGGGGAGAGCATAGTGTGTGTGCGCGCAATAGACCCATCTCAATTCCAAGAACGACAACGACGTCGTTGAGAGGATGACCCGCCGGGTGACGGCGGTGCCTCAACCTGAGCCTCGCTTCCTTGGAGGCGGCAGCTTCTACTTTGACTGGGCTACCTCCTTGGAGCCTGATGCTTCGACCCCAGTGGACCCCAGTGAGCAACAGCGCCATCATGCTCCTGGGGCTCCTTCATGCATCGGTCAAACAACGTGTGAGATCCCTATGGCTCGCTGCTGACTCGCCCAACCTGCCTCCACGAAATCTGGAGTTCTACCGTCCTGCCCAATACTAACAATTCATGTTATTGTAATCTTGCGTGTATTTGCAACTTTCAGCGATGGTGGTACCGCGGTGTGGGAATCGCGCTCCCTAGCTTCTGGATGATTGGCCTCGTAATAAATGTGCTTGCCTACAACTTCGTGGCGTTAAAAAATAACGTAAGGCTCTAATACTGCTCGTATTGAGCAAAACTATAATTACTTAAGCGTCGCGACCCCGCCTCGTACTGCTGTTCTACGACGATTATCCAGATGACAGCCATTTTGATAGGAACCAGTGCGCCCCCTATAAGTCGTGAAAGTTGCGAATATACTCATCACATTATCATGATCACTAGACTCGGCACCGCGGGCCTCCAAGGTACGTGCTGCTGCCTTTCCGCGGTGCCGCGGCTCTCCAGAGCCAAATAAATAAAGACAAAGACAAAGCATCCGTGACGCCGCCCATAAAGGCCCATAACTACAGGTTTTGCCGCTCATAATAATACTAAAAATTGCATCACACATAATGTTTTATTTTTCCGCAAGTTATTGAGCAATCATAGGCTGTTTTGTTTTTCACTATTCTTTAAAAGTTTCTCATTGGAAGCCAGCTAGGTCGTCACGATAGATTCTAGATCAAAGGTATGTGAAGGGAGAAATGACTGACAAGTGTTATCTCATTCCAAAAGAGTCACCACAAAAATACATGTCTGTCTTGACAAAACTGAGTGCCCCCCCCCCCCCCCCCCCCCCCCCCCCCCCCCCCCCCCGCTCCCCGGCTACGTTGCCTGCTTGGTGGTGCGGGTTTCGAGAAACATAGTTGCCGCAAACCAAGAGACCACCCTTTGGCTCCTGTTACAGGTAGAGAATAGCAGAACCTGCCACAAAGCACTCTGCTCACCCTAATGGGTGGTTTGCTCCTCTCCACTGACCTGCTAAAATGGAAAAAGTGAAGGGCTTTGTGGGAAGAGCTTGTCTTACTAGTCTTGAACTGCGGTAGAATCGAGTGGGCACGGACCCGTTTCTCTGACGTGCGGGCAAACAGTGGCCTTCGATAAAACGGCCATTGGATGAAACCATTCGACGAAGCGTTTGCAGCACATTGCTCGGCTTAAGACAGACCCCTCACGACGTACGCACCACTTAGAAGATCCAGGTCTGTGAACTCCGAGAGCGGCAGAAAGGCGGTTTTGTCACGGATGCCGTCGCACTCTTGGCGTCTCTTGTGTTCTTTAACGCACGGCAGAGAACAGGATCGGGTCGTGCACCTGGGACAGCAGTATTTCGCTGGTTTCCCGCATTGATAGCAGGTTCTGCAGGAAATGTTTGGTGCGCATATCGGTTACGCACTGAAGCCGATTTTTGAGAGAAGAATGAATAGCCAAAATAACCAAGCCACGTGCGAAAACCAAACATACCTCTCGGGCGCATCCATGTTTGTTTTGATGTGACGACTGAAGACGTCATTAAACGTCAATCACACACGTAGCGCTCCCGTGTCCTTGCTTCAGGCAGTTTGCCAGTTGGGTAATACAGTATACTTTTTCGAGCTTACAATAATCTGTACCTTCGTCTATAAATCGGCAGCAGTAGCCAGTTGCCTAGCAACCCGCTTTTCTGTCGAACCTGGGCTGGGAGGTCCGACTTGAGTAAGAAAGCACCGGACCTGAAGAAGAACGTCACATATCACGTGGGCAAATCTGGTAACTCGCCCACTCGCCTGACTCGCCCTTCGAGATTCCAACCCACTTCCAACCCCTTCGGTGCAGACCACAGTGGTGCAGTCGGTGCAGTGTGGAAAAAAAGAAATGAATAGCCACACCCTTGGTAGGCACCATTTAGCCACTGTAGCTACAACACAATCTTCCCTTGGCATGTTGGCACGATCCTCAAATCGAAACCAAAGTCATCGCCTGGGGCGGAAGTTATACAAACATCCATGATGCTTTGCAGGCAGCGGCCACGGCAAGGGCGACAAGGGGCAAGGGCCACAATTCCTATGACGTCATAAATGTCCTCCCGCTACTCTCGCTCTACTCCTTGCCAAAAAACAAGAAAAAAGGGGGCGGGCTGCTGCTGCTGTCCTTGCGCTCGCTCGCCCGGCGCGTAGATGTGCCGTACTCCTCGATCGTGTGGCGTGTGCGCCGTGCAGCGCTTTTTCCGATGGGACGGAGGACGCTTTTGTGCACGAAGATGGTGTCCCGTGAACTTCGGTCGACGAGACGGACTGAAGTTTGCGCTCTGATCGGATCGGCCAGCTCGCAGCAGTAGCGGCGAGCCGCACAGGAGTCCAAAGCAAGCAGCCCTTCCATAACTGGATCGATACCCTAAAATCCGTTGGAATGAACGGGATGGGAACCTACGCGCTTTCCATGTCCGTGCTTCTGTGCACGGTCGCCGCTCCCAACGGCTTGATTCCGCTGCAGCCGAGCAGCGTCGATAAGGTGGAAACTGTCGAAGCCAGCACGCTCAAGAGTCTCTACATTGCGGCGGTGTTCCCGATGAAAGGCCACGGCGGCTGGCTCGGCGGGCAGGGCTGCCTGCCCGCGGCCCTCATGGCCCTCGAAGACGTAAACAAGAGGTCCGATCTTCTCATAGGGTACAAGCTGGAGATTGACTGGAGAGACAGCCAGGTATGCGCGCTTCCATCAGACTTTCCGGGTTTCCGCAATCACGCGCGCGCGCCTAATAGCTACGGCGTGCTTGACCTTTGGTATTTTCCCAGAGAGCATTCCGAGGAGCAAATGAATGTTGCTTATCGTTTCGGTGAGGGGTGAGACCTTGAGAGTTTTAAATGCCGGCTCCTCGCGTGTTGCTTTGAATAGATGGGTGGACATGTTGCGGATGCTCGCGCAATATGCACGCTATGAGGCTCCAATCCAGCCTATGTTCGGACGTTCGTGCTGCCGACTTCGTTACAATTAACGCTCCGCAAAGAACTCAAATGAACTTGTGCACGCAGGAAAAACAACAACAGCAATAACAAACGCGTCAAGAAAGCGTCGAGCGCGAGCAATGTACTTGTGCGCTTTCAATCATATGAACACCGGTCGAATTCTCGCTTACTCCGCGAATGGCGGGCGAATTAGCCTCGATTATATTTGCCTCGTTTTCTACTTTCAGTGTAATCCCGGTCTTGCAGCCACCGTCATGTACGATCTCTTGTACAACGACCCTCAAAAATTGATGCTGCTCGGAGGTTGCAGCATAGTGTGCTCTACCATCGCCGAAGCTGCCAAGATGTGGAATTTAGTTGTTGTAAGTACACCTTTCTTTCTTTCTTTTTTTTTTTTTCAATCCTGCTGCATGGTACAGTAAACTTAGTTTATCGTCTCGTGCTGGAAGTTAAAAAGTTTTATTAATTAAAAAAAAAAAAATTGCAACAGCCACAAGAATCACACCAAATGTTATACACCACAGAGGCTTGCAGGTTGCCACTAGGCTCGTTCGATTTACTTGCACTTCCTGCACCGGTGCAGAAAAGTGTAGGGTACTTCCGGAATGTGTATTGAGCTACGACCGGAAGTACACCTCACTACACTTTTCTGCACGGGTGTAAGAGGTGCAAGTAAATTGAATAAGTCTACTGCATTGTGTTAATAAAAATATAAAAGAGAAGAGAAGAGATCATTCTAAAACTTCCTTAAAAAAAAAAATGAAAAGAGTTTTTGCATCTTTTTATACTTTTTAGTATTTTTGTACCTAGAGAAGCTTATGTGACATGATGGGTTTCGATCCTGATCCCGGCACACATTCTTTTCCGGCAGTTTCCTTATTTCAGTTCTATGTGTATGGCTCACTCACCCACACGTCTGGGTCGCATGTTCTCTCGGAGACCTCACAGAAGACTTTCCTTCTTTCAGATATCCTACGGTTCTAGTTCTCCCGCACTGTCGAATAGGAAACGCTTTCCGACGTTCTTCCGAACGCACCCTTCAGCCACGATCCACAACCCGACGCGCATCAAGTTGTTCCAGAAATTTGAATGGTCGCGCATCGCCATCATCCAGGAGGCGGAAGAGGTGTTCACTTCGGTGAGTCAACTGCAGAGAGCATGCAGAGATGAGACATATATTTGTGCTCATTGTCCGAGATTGACTGGAGGCTGGTTCATATATTGACATTTGAGAGTGAGTGAGGGCGTTGTGCTCATTTGTAACCGCTTACGGCGGGAGAACAGACTGGCACACTCGCTTCATCTTTTACATGGAACACTCACAATCTGCATAGTATATGTTTTTTCAATTTTTACATGTTCTTCTTTCAGTGTGGGCTCGAAATAATTCTGCCACTATTATCGGCAGAATCTTTATGTTGTGACTCTTTAAAAAGCGACTCCATGCAGTGCTTTGCGGTCAATATCAGTTGGCGTGAAGCGTATTGCTGAGCTTGTGCTTTACTGTAGCGTTCCGACAGCATCTCTGATGGGAGGGACTTGTTTTGTTTGTCTTTTTCAGACGGGAGAGGACCTTGAAATTAAGTGCAAAGAGGCGCACATTGAAATTGTCACAAGACAGAGCTTTCTGACCGATCCCACGGATGCGGTGAAGAACCTGGTGGTATGTTGTGCACTCATAGATTTCCCTTTTGGTTGCTGTACAGTTCACCGTTTTAACTGTGAAACACTGTTTTAATGCTTGTCGACTTTCCAGATCATAGACGACGGGAACCTTGCGGCAATTTTTTCGTGATAGACTGCTATAGCCCTACACGTGCTTTTCCACAGCAGTGTTGCAAAAAATTGCTGCTGCACTTATGAAAGAGAGAGAAGGAAAGAGTGTGCGAAGGAGAAAAGATGCACATTAGTATCTGTGACATCATTGTGGGCTTCCGAGAGGTGTTAACTTTTCTTCTGATGTAGTTTCCATGCATAATTTCTGATATATAGATACAATTTTCTCAGGCAGAGTAACAAAAACTTAACAAGCTTTTCTTTCTTCTTTTTGTCCTAGTGAAAAAAGAAAGAAAAAAGATTGAGCGTTTGGTTAGAAATTTTAACGTTGCATTCCGATTCTGACATTTTTCAGAGGCAAGATGCGCGGATCATTGTGGGTATGTTCTATGTGGCAGCAGCTCGCCGGGTTTTTTGTGAGGTGAGGCTTCTCAACCATTAGAGATCCTTTTTCAGGAAGATTTTTGGAGGGGGTGGAAACTGTATTGATATACATGAAGGGGGGCCCACGTTAGAATTTTAAGTGCCAGAAAGAGCTGGACGTGAACTGATGTTTATTCCATGAAAGTGGAAGGAGTCTATTACTCTGGTTCACAGTTGCTTATTTAGGCTAGCTGAGTGGTACTAGAGAGGCACTAGTGTTTACTAACGCCACTGTATATGCTCCCGGAGGGAGCAGAGTAACTCCAACTGTAGCGCCCCCACTCGGTGACTAGCAATGAATGCCAAAAGGCTTCAACTCTTGCACGGTGGACATATCAGGTACAGAAGAAAGCTGGGTTTTATTATATCTAGGCTATTTATCGTGTGGAAACTGTTTCTAATATCATAGGCATGCTCCCTAAAAGCATTTGCGTCACTTGTTATGCTCTGAGCGAGATAAGATTATCTTGTTTTGAGCCCAAATCACCTTATGGTAGCAGGCGGCAGTGGGCACTGTGGTGAGTAGACTGCAGTTCTGCGGTGCTGCTGCAATTTTTTACGGTGTTTCTCCAGTTGGCCAGTGCAGTACGACTGCTAGCCTCGGGTCTGCAATGTGCACCATGCAGTAGTAGTACATGAAAGCGTGCCGGTGTGATGCTCATCCAGATCAAAACAAGAAGGGACGGAGATTGAGCTAGGATCCCTGGTTTCTGCAGCGCAAACTTTCGTTTCATGGGCTCCATTTTAAGATGTGTTAATCAAGTCCCATGCACAGAATAAAATCGGCGTATAATCAATGCGTGACAAGCAATGCGGCATCATATGCGCACGTAGGAAACATGATACAACCATATGACGAGAAAACTTCACGGCGAGCTGGTGGCAAGTCTTTACAGTCGTAGTCGATTAACGCATTGTTTTTAGATGCTATGCATACAATATACCTTTTTCTCGGTTCCTCGGAAAAGAGGAGCTCTCCGTGGATTGTGGGTGAAGATAGAAGGCACTGCATTTTGCGCTGCTTGCGTTTGCCGTCCCGACATCCAGAGAACTGATCTTCCTCAAAATGAACATTGCAGTTTGTGTTCATTCAGTTCTTCAAACTGTTACATCAGGTATTGCAATAATATAACTTACCTTGCACGGCCGAGTACAAGAGCTTAGAGTGAAGCCCGTTCTACTGATCCACGACAGCCACAAAAGTCGTCGTTTGACTGTTTCTCACCCTCCACATTGATATGAAAAAATTGTTTTCCGGCTTCATGCCGGCTATTGCACCCAAAAGCGCTGCACCCTGGCATCTGGAACCCTTTGAAATGCTGGAAATGTTTAAAAAACAACGACTGCTGATACCACGCCAATGCTCCCGTCGTGAAGACTTGAACCTTTTGTGAAAGTGTGGGAAAATTTTGTCCAGATAATCGCTGCGAGCCAATAAGGAGTGCAGATTGTAGGCGAACTTAAACATCAATCAATAGCGCTACTATGCTCCCTACAGGAGCATTTACAATGGCGCTATTGTTTACCAGAAAGGGGGAAATTGTTGAAACGTGCGGTTTTATCTCCTGTATACCAATATCATTGTTTTAATGATCTTAACATCAAATAGTCAAAGGGGGATAAGTCAAAGTTTGTAGAACTTGTATTTTAAACTTGCCTTTTTATGATGATAACTCAGAATACGCACCTTAAATTTCGACAGAAAGCCAAAATTATTATCGTGCTTGGCCTTTTTTTCTATCAGAAACATGATGAAGTGTTGCAACATGCCCCTTTTCTGAGATATATGTCGGCAAAAGTAATGGGTCACAACGTTTGGTCGTGTTTTTCATAAAAAAAAAGGACCCACATGATTGTATCTTAGGGTGCGTAGATTGAGTTTTCACCCTAAAAAGACAAACTTACGATTCACTTCAGTGCCCGCCCGTTCGAGTGATGTAGAATGTGGCTCAATGTGTCATGGTCCGAGTGTGCTTTGGTGGTTAAAAGGCACTTCAGACGATGCTTTTTGCCATGCTGACGTCATCAACACTAACCACAGGTTTGTTATGTTTCTCTCTCTCTCTCTTGGCAGGCATACAAGCAGAACGTGTTTGGCAAGCAGTATGTGTGGCTGCTGATTGGCTGGTACGAGGATGGCTGGTACACGGTGCAGGACAAGGGCCACAACTGCACCACGGAACAGATGAAGGAGGCCCTGGAAGGGCACTTCACCACCGAGGCCCTCATGCTCAACCAGGGCAACCAGGAGACCATCTCGGGCATGGTGAGCGCGTCTGGAAGCCAGCAAAGTGGCGCTATGGCGGGCGAAGAATAGCTGGGCAAACACTACCCACAAAGCTTTTTCTCTTCACTAGATCTCAAAAACTGATGTCTCTCTAAGTATGCCTTTTTTTTCTAAACAATAAGAGAGTAAAGTGTGTTACCGTGGGATATTACCATTGAAATTGAAATGCCAGGTGGCTTCATTTTAAACATTGCTGAACTTTCCAAATACAGTGATTTAAGAGTTGATGATGTACTAATCGTCACTTCCTTGTTTTTAGATTGTATGTATTGTGTACAGACATATTTTGTTTATGCCATGAGATCAGTTTCTATCTTTTTCTACGTTACTGCCACTATAGGGTGTACTCACTGGGCGACATATTTAAGTGCGCTGCGTGCTCAGAACGAGCTCACATTTATAGACTGGTAAGACTGGCAATCTTGATGGTGTGGAATACACATTGCAAAAGAACTGTGGAAGCTCGCCTCAGCTCGTGCTCGTGAGCACGCGGACTTGGCTATGGCCGCCAGCAGGGATGGGCAGAAATACGCCCCAAAAAGTATTTGGAAATACAAATACACATGACAAAGATGCCTAAAATACTGATACTGAAATATGTTTATAAAAAGGCGTCGCAATACATATTAGAAATACATTTGCAACATATAAAACATATTTGAAAATACAAATACAGTAACACATTTCGTATAAATACAGGTGTGAAATAGATTTTGTCAAAGATTCATTTTAGATGTTGTCATAATTTGCAGGATCGGTTGGGTGCACCCGCTATTCTGTACAAAGAACAAAAAAATAAATATCATCTACATTGATTTTGTGATATTTGTTAACCAACAAACAAGTACTCAATGTAGAATTTCAATTTGCACGTTTTTTTGCCTGAAATGCATTAATGACTCGTTCAGAAATACAGCAAAATGCATCCGGTCCCAATGGTATCGCGATACCAGGAATACACCCAAAATGTATTTCGATACAGAAATACAAAATACAGTTCAAAATTTGTATTGTGATACATAAGTATGAATACAAAATGTATTCTTGAAATACTAGCAGGATACATTTGTATTGCGATACTGCCCACCCCTGGCCATTAGTCTGTACTCCCTATAGGTATCTAGCAGAGCAGTTTTAAAGTGAGAGCATTAACTGCCTCATGGAATGAGCCGACGTCATCAGCTTTGAGATCACGCCAAACGGCTCTTTTACACCGCTTCAATCCCTTAGCTAGCGCATGTCCACAGCCAACGGCACCTTTTGCACTGCTGCGATCCCATTGGCTAGCACTTGTCGACCAGGCTTCCATTCACTGGATGCGCAGCGTTAGAGTTCCTGTATAAGCTCCCTATGTGAGCCAAAGTTGCACGACTGTTTTCCAAGTGCCGCTTCGCCACTGTTCGCCGAGGTCCGATCACGTGAGGATCAAGTGCCGTGCGGGAATGTAAACGTTGCATGTGCCCCAGCATACTCTCCCCTGCTTTTGAGCGCGCAGCGCCGCTATTTGCCGAATTCAGTCACGTGAGGAGCAGGATCAACATGTTGTGCAGGAAAGACGGCGCTACAGGGATGAACGTGCAATCTGGCTCCTGTAGGGAGCCTATACAGGAACTCTAGTCAGCGCCCAGTCAGTGCATCAACACGCGTAGAGCAAGATTGATGTACATGCTTTTGCATTCACAACTCATAAGAAGTGCTTAGGTGTACCTTCCTCTCTTTCAGCTGTAGTTCGTTCTATCTATCGGACCGTCATAAATTGCGTTCTATGAGGAATGCAGCCAACGCTTGCATTTGATATCCGCCTTCCTGGCACGCACCACTCCTTCCTTAGGGAGTGTTGCCTCATTGTCCTCTCTTACACCTCCTTTCTTGCGACGTAGGGAAGAATCCCACTCTGGGGTGATGGAGCGTTTCGTGGGGTGACTCGTCACATGTTGTTGACACACATCACACATGAGCATGCACTGGTGGTTGGCAGTGCCGGTGCTTGGCAGGTGGCTAACTCTGCTACATTCTGCATCACTTCACATCGTCGCAAAATCTGAACTAGCTTGAATTAGAATGCAGTTCTGCATTCATATGTAGAAGCGGGAAGTCTTACGGTGGCGCCTGTTGCCTCAACCGCAGAGCTCACAGCAGTTCCTGGAGCGATACGAGCTGGCTTTGGCCGAACAAAACGGCATGAACGGCTACCGCCCTGAGGGTCACCAGGAGGCACCGCTGGCGTACGACGCCATCTGGGCCATTGCCCTGGCCCTGAACAAGACCATCAACACACTCAAGGAGTACTCGATGAGCATCGAGGACTTCACCTACACCAACAAGAAGATTGCAGATGAAATCTGGTCGGCCATGGACGCCACTCAGTTCCTTGGCGTCTCGGTGAGCACTCGAATTCCTTCGAACTAAATTGTTGTACTTGGAGATTTTATTATCTGAATCTGAGGCTTTTGAAGATGGGGGTGAACCCATTGCTCAAGCTTAGTGGGAAGGGCAGCTTTTGTAATGAGATGTAGCATCACAAAGAAATTTTTAATGTTATGGACAGATGTAACGTCGCAGATGGAGGTAATTGCCATTTTATTTAGAACGAGGCAATTTTTTTCTAAAATGAACAACAAGCATATTCTTTTTTTTTTAATAAAAAAAATTACCTTGAGAGCTTAAGGTCCGATTCACCCCATTCTCCTCCTTAAATCTGCCATTGACTCAAGAAGAGGTCACCGACCTTGAGACATCCCGCCTATATCATTTCTGAAACGAATGCCAATTCGTCCGGGCTGTACCAGGTTTTCTTTTTGTTCTTTATGTTATGTTATATTCTTGCCAAATTAACAGATGCCAATCTAAAACATGGGGAGATTTGCTTGAAACAGACAGCCCTTGAAGTTTACTTTGAAAGCTGTCGCATTCTGTTTAAGATTTATTTAGGAAACACAGCATGGGAAATATCATTGAGGGCATTTGTCCTTTTGGTTTTCTTGCCATGCAAATGGCACCCTGTTTGTTTTTTCTGCCAATTGAGGATGATCGACAATTAAAAGTTTCGCCCAGTGTTTGGCAAAGAAAATGTGCTTCAAGTGGAGTGCAAGCTTTCTAAACCTTCTTGAAGTAGTACTTTAAAGGGGCCCTGCAACAACTTTTTGACTGGTTTTTATTCGCATTGATCCTGAGCGCACTGAACGTAATAACTTAATGAAACTTTTCTTTTCTCAAATTTCGCTTTATTTTAAAAGTTATAGGCAAATTAGAATTACAAAAACAAGCGCCGCTAATAGCCGATTCACACGACGGACTGATCCGCGGACGGATTGATCTCGTGATGACATGTCCGCGGTTCATCCGTCTCCCAAGCGCATCCACACGAGGGAGACGACGAGCAGACGCCAGCGAGGACGGACCGGTCCTGCTCGCCACCCCACAGTGCCGCGAAACTCCAACATCGCACCGTGGCATCGTTGTCCAAGAGAGAAATTGATGTTTGCTACCGCGATTAAGAATCGTACGCCGCTGTTACGCACAGATCGAGACAAAACACCGGGCAGGCTTCGCACCAAGCGCCGCTAACTTTACTAACCCAAAGCATGACAGTGACAAAGGCATGGTCCTGCTCGAGAAAGCTTCGGCGTAGACGCGACGAAGTTCTGGGCTCGCGGAGGGGCGCTTGGAGATGCCTTCACGCACTCCGCGCTCGTGCACAACACTCAAGCACACCACATTCACAAGAGAGGTCTTGCTCGGTGAAATCCTGATCGGACGTGCAAGAATTACCGCGGCGTGCTAGACGAGTTTTGACGGGAGCTTCTTGTCACGGACCCGGAGGAGTACCGAAACCTGCGTCGCGTCAGCCAGACAAGTTTCTGCAGTTTCTTTCACTCGTGGAACCAAGAATCGCGCGTCAAAATGAACCAATGAACGCACAAAACACAACGATGCACCATTTTTGTTTTGAACGCCCAGAAGCAAAAAACCAAGAAAACAATGTACCGTTGCCAGACTAAACACTTTCCAAGTCAAGCTCCCGCCAAACGTCCGCGAGTGAAAAAGGCACTCGACTTTATCAGTCCGCGCGTCCGCGGACGAGTCACGGATCGCAGGAATCGGTGACGTGCTGGTCACGGTAACACACGGTCCACGGATGAAAATCGCGATTCGGTCCGTCGTGTGAATCGGCTAAAAGGCACGTGTTGGATAGGCTGTATGAAGCGGGCGGCTCGCGTCGCATTTGCTGTACGATTAAAGAGTAATTCGGCATAACACTTCATTGGCCACAAACGACAGCGAACACGGGGTAAATATCAGTTCAGAACGGGAGTCACTTCGCGCTGCCATACCACCAAATGGCAAAATTGCCAGCCAAGCCTGCACCGAAAGCCTTCGGAACGCTCGGAACCAGTTGGATCCTCGAGCCGGTATACGACTGCAGCGCCGCCGCGTACATCCGGGACCTTTCTACGCTTGCCGTTCGTCGGCGCCTCATCCCACTAGCCCTTTCTAGTATGTGCCGTTTTTTCCGCCGCTTGTTGCCGGGTATGTCGACGGGTCATTTCTTTTTTCCATACTTTATAAACTGCATTTGTTTCTTTTCTGATCTAAAATACTGAACAAAAACTACTTTCATACATAATTGAAACGGTTTGCGACACTCAGGGATGGGCAGTATTTCAAATACAAGTATTTGAAATACGTATTTCAGATACTTTGTGTATTTTGCATTTGTATTTAATTACAAATTGGGTAATGTGTTTGATGTGTGTATTTAAATACTAAAATGTGGGTATTTCAAATACAATTGTAATTAAATACAATTTTGTGGGCGAAAATACATCCCTCAAATTTCTTGTCACTGTCCAGAGCAGGAAGAAAACTATGTTTTGCACTGAATGCAGTGTCTCTCAATCAAGCACAAGTGTTTAGTGACGTTGTGATTACGGTGCTAGTCCAGGGCAAGAATAGTGACGAAATCGACGTTCACAGGCAGACTGGCTAAATAAGTTCCTGTGTCAACTTGTGATGCTTTCCAGCCTGATTTCCATCCATACTTTTGCCTGGAACAGTCTAAATGCACGGGTCGTCAAAATTTTCGTAACTGGTGCGAGTTGCAACAATAAAAATTCTCTAGCTAGTGCTGCGCGTCTTGGTCGTCTCGGTTCTTTGTTGGTCTATACCAAAATGTAATCGACAAAAAAAGGTGCTTGAAGCTCTGTACTTTTCTCACCTATTACGTCCAAGCTGATTACATTTTTTTGTGATTATATTTCTATTACGTTACTAGAGCCTCACACACTAACTCCCTAGTGTGTGATGCAAAATTAAAATGAGATACCCAGAACCCAGTTGCAGGTGCCCTGAAGTCGTTGACGCAAATTTTGAGGAATGTATTTGAAGTTTTTGGATGAGACCAAATACATTTGGTTGTAATTGTATTTTGTACTTAAATGCTTTTTTGAAAATGTAATTAGATTTGTAATTAAATACATTTTTAACAAAGTATTTTGTATTTGTATTTCGATGCTTATTTGCATGTATTTGGCCCATCCCTGGCGACACTTCTATTTTTTATCTAGACGAAAAAAAAAATATTTTAGCAGTTATGACCAGTAGTAAGCCCAGGACCAAAGACGTCACATATCACGCGCTTTCGGCAACGCGGGTCGCCCTCAAAGGTAGAGGAGGTTCCCGCGTTGTCCGGTTAAAATATGACGCACTGATATTTAGTTACTCTCTCCGTGCCCACTGGCTTGCCCGAGCCCCCAGAGATGTGGAAACCGCAAAAAGGGTAGACGCTTAAATATGATTGCAGGGCCCCTTTAAGTACAATGTACTTGAAGTACTTCCCAGCACTGGTTTCCCCTAATAGCGTAATTTTGTTGGCAGGAAAAACTGGGCTACGTAGTACTCCTGCAGAATTACCTATTTTTCTTTGAGTATGCAGAGTGCAGACAAAATGAGTTGGAATGATTCGTGCAACATTTGTTCAACATTCAAACATCACTATGATCGTCAATTGCGACGGAACACAGATTTTAGAAATTGTGCATATGTTTGATTCCCAGGGATTTGTTGCATTCTCTGCCTTGGGAGACCGCATGTCGTGGACACTCATCGAACAAATGATTGGTGAGACTGTGTTCCTGTATCGCACTCCTTTCTGGCATTCTTTCTGAGCTTTTCTTTTCTGAATAGTGAATTCTTTTCTCGTTCACAATACCACAATCTTCCGCACAGAGGGAAGCTACGTCAAGATTGGCTATTACGACATCGAGACCGACAACTTAACCATTTACACTCAGGCGAAGTGGACCGGTAAGTTCGGCGGTATCTAAAATTGTCGTGCAGAAATATTTGCTGTCTGCAAGAAAAGAGGAGCGTCTTTCTCTCGCCTCAAAATTAAACTACACATTGCCGAACATTTAATCTCCACCCAAATGTAGTGCTAGCTGTTGGAACCGGATGCCAAGGTTTCAGAACTTACCGACATACAATTAAAAAGTCGTAAGTGGTTCATAAAAATTTTCAATGAGAAAATGGGGCCAGTTTTTGGTAGCAGACACCATTAATTTCCATATAGCAGTGGTTTTAAAACGAGAATCCGCAGATTCTTTGGGGTCCCTAAAGGCCTTCTTAGGGTCCATGAAGCCCTTGACCATCAATCAAGACGAGGAAAATTCTTATTTTTTTTATTGATGCTGGTTGTTTTAGTATAATAGTCTAAAGAGATTACACCATGTGCACCGAGTGATTAGGGTTAATTATTCTCCATTTCAAAGCTTCAAAATTGGTTTGCATGCATTTAGTTTTTTGTTTATTTACCCTTTTGTCATTATAATCATCCAGAAACCCCCCTCCCCCTAGTGGACGGTGTCCCCCATCACCTCCACTGATCCAGAAGGGGTCCCCGAATCGTCAGTAGTTGAGAACCACTGCCATATAGTATTTATGGACTTCGTTGGTCACCAGTTCTTATTGGAAATTTCAAAAAATCAATTATTACCGTATTAGGGGCGAAGCTCCTTAGGGTCTAGCATTGTCCGGCGTCCGTGCTCACATCGATTGCCATCCCATCTGTCTTCTCAAAAAAAGAAAAAACGTTTGCGCAGTCGACAGGATTCGAACCTGTGCGGGGATGGATTTCTAGTCCATCGCCTTAACGACTCGGCCACGACTGCGGGACGAGTAGGGGCCTCTGAGATGTGGTAGTAACTTAAGAGCTGGGGATGTCATGGATGAAACGTTGCATGTAATCACTCAACGTCTCTACAGGAGAGGGCGTTGTGGTCAAATGCGTATATAATCGCGTTAAACTTTGCATGCATTGGCTCAACGTTTATAGACAAGAGGGCGCTGCGGTCAAAAACTTAAATGCGTATTATAACCACGTTCCATAGCACACATTCTCTTTCTGACATGGACCGTTGACTTAAAGGGGCGGTGCAATGATTTTAACACTGAACGAATGTGCAGCTTGTATTTTTTATGTTGTTTACTTCGGCATAAGTAAGAGAAAAAGTGCCGTCATACACCAAAATACCTCTATTTCGCTGCGTAATCGCAAAATAAAAAACACTTTTTTTCACAACCTGCGGCCACATGGTGGCTGCAAATGGAACCTGTGGTGTGACGTCATTCAGAGTGGTTTTTGTAAGTGACAGTGTTAGGCAATTGTAAGCTTGATTTAAGGTTAAGTTTAAAAAATCTTGTTGTTTAGGCATGCAGAAACGCTTCAAAAGCCTAACATTGCCGCTAAAGGATTTGGGGCGCCATCTACCGCAAGTCAACCAAACCTGCCGTCGCCGTCGTCCGTCGACGCCCGAGCGCCTACGGCGGCTACACGAGTGACCCGGACGTTTTGTCTTTCCCTCGCTGGACGGAGTGCGTTGGTCATGGTCCGTAGTATCGTGGTGTCGTTATTGTTCCTGGTGTCTCGACCTCGACTTCGACGGCCCGCCGTGTCGACTGCCCGCCGCACAAGTCCAACTGACTTACTATACGGAAGCATCTTGCGCTCGACGTCGCTCAGGCCGTCCGCCCATGCCGCCATGTTGGTCGGGAATCGACGGGAGAGCGGCGAGCCGGCGAGCGCTGGGGAAACGGAAGCCAGAAGCACCCAACCGGAAACCAACGCCACTCCGAATGACGTCACAGGCGAAGCTGGTGCCGCTTCAATGTTGAGTTGAGGGGTGCCAGAGATACCGATTTCTTTTATTTTTTTAATGAAAACTAGGGCAAGCAGGAAAGAATAGTTTTCGGTCCTTCGTTTCTTATGTGGCCGGGATCAATTCCCGCAATTAGTTAGCCAAAGTCCGCAAATTGTTGCACCGCCCCTTTAAGCGGTGGAGATGCATTCCCACGGCTTCTAGCGGATCCAAGCTGATTCGCTAGAAGAACCTCTGGCTCTGCATTTCACTGACCATAAAGCAGTAATAATGAAATCGAAACGCAACCCGGAACTCAGCACTACCTATGAGCAATAAAAAAAAAAAAAAATCAGCCCCATCAGCACTACTTATGAACAAAATCAGTATCATCAGCACCACCAGAGCTTCGCCCCAATCAACATCATTTACCACGTGGAGATGCGGTCATTTTTACTCGAGTAATAGCCGCACTGTTTATGAAAAAAACATGAAGGTTTGCTTTTCTGCGGAGCACACAGATCGCCAATCACCGCGATCGAAAGCATGATTCCAGCGGTTTACAGGACAGAGATAACGCCTTTGTGCGAAGATACCATCTGTGAAGATTGCATTTGCATGGAAAATCGTGTTCTCAATCTAGTTATGTATTTGCTATGTCATTTATGTGCAACGCGATGATTCGGTGTAAATGTGCTCTGCGGAAAAGAAGACGCAAGGGCCTTGTTCATAAATAGTGCAGAAATACGGTAGATTGAATCAGATAACAGTGAGTTTTGGAACTTTGGCATCTGTTTCCAACTTCTAGCGCTACATTTGGGCAGAGAGGTAGCGTTTGGCGGCGCACAGTTTATTTATGCGGCAAGAAAAGAATGACAGTCTATTCTCCTAAGCGCCTGGTACTTCACGCGTCTTTTTCTGTTAAAACATTCAAATGAGGTAGGGGCGACAAGTTTGCAGCAGTGTGTCTCGTGTGCACGCATCTCTTATCTTGCGAGCGTGTCCCGTGCGCAGACGGCAAGCCACCGCAAGACCGCACCATCATCGTCCGGGTGCACAGGAAGGTGTCACTCAGCCTCTTTGCCGGAATGTGCGCCGTCGCCTTCATTGGTGTCGTCTGGGCAGTGGGACTGCTTGTCTTCAACTGGATCTTCAGGCACTCCAGGTCTCTACATTTGTTGAATATTCCACGTGAAAATCTGGTTATTTCCAACTGGGTTATGGAATTGGTCTTAGCTGAATCCAGATAGATTGTCTCGTTGGCTAGAAATGGACTAGTAGTTTTTTTCACCTGGGACACTTTTCCCTGACGTACCCCGAACTTGGTGTATTGCTAAACGGGTATGTTTGATCTGAAAGGGATTACGAACAGGTAGCTGGCAATATGGAACAGTGTGACCCTTCTCTCCCACGTGCAATTATCTCAATTTTGGATGTCAATTGGTCTTTGAGGCACGCAAGGACCGGAGCAGTCATTGGCTGCAGCAATTTTCTTTTGCTTCAGTTTCTCTGCTTCTGAAGCTGACAAAACCTAATTTTGTTCTGCATCCAGCAAGCCTAACTAGTACCAAGCAGATTTTCGATCGGCAAGAGATAATGCCATCCTTTCAAAAATAGGGGGCTTGAGTAACGAATACCGTAAAATACCGGTCAAGTGCCCACTCAAGATAGAGGTAATCACGAAAAAATGGGAGATGGGCGCTTGTCCGGTCATCAATTTGACATATAGATGTACTGTGCATATTTTCTCACATCTTAGAAATTTGGATATGGGCGCTTAATGTGGAATGGGCGGATGCGCGGTATTCTACAGTAGTTGAAGAAGTAAAGACGCTCTAGACTTCTAAATTCTCTTTTTGCAAAAACCGGCACATCTAAGGAGAAATTAATACATCTGTTCTTTGCCTTGCTTTGTGTATGAGAGTTGTTTATTCTGAGTGCTCAGTTAGACAATGTAAAAAAAATATTTTTGGTCCCTTTAACGGTCTTCAACAACTTCACAGCTGCCAATTCTGTTGCTCTCCTTCCTTATTGGATGTCACAATTCAATATGCATTCTTTCTTCTCCAGGTACATCCAGCTGTCACATCCAATGTGCAACAACATCATGCTGATCGGCATCATTTTGTGCCTGGTTTGTGTCTGTCTGCTCGGACTGGACGGACAGTTTGTCAGCGAGTTCAGATATGCACACATCTGCCAGGTGAGCTACACCACTGGGAATGCTTTGGGGAGAAGCCTGCATGGCTTTATATGGCACGGCTAACCTACCTGCACATCATGTGAATCCAGAACTTTACCATAAAGCTGAAACTAGCAGTGGTTGCAGAAGAAAGCCAATGTTTCAAGCCAGAACTTTATCTGATTCAGAAAATGTAAGTGATTTGTTTTCAAAGTTTTGACTAGAAGATGGTATCGCTTGTTGGTTATAGATGATGTCCATTTCCCAGTATTTTCCGGTTACATAGGATGGTATTTTCTTTCTAAAGTTTGTCAGTTAATTGACTGAACTAAAAATCTGAAGATTTAATTTACTTAGACACCTACCTGTAGGAATTATCTAACGATATTTGGATAAGACATGTCATGGTACCTCATTCAGCACTTCTGCTACAAGCGATGAGGCAGATGACCAGCTATTTCTTTAATCTAACTGAAGAAAGAAAAAAAAAAATTTAAGTGTGCAGTGTAGCATTTTCCTTGTATTGTTTGGTGGTGGGCAGCACTTGAAAAACCTAGTACATGTATATCTATTTTAAAATCTGGCATCAACACCTTCCTTGGGGTTTACTGGTGCATGTTAGTTTCAATCATTGTTACTTTCATTGCTCCAGTCTGCACTAGACTATACGGTTCAGGTGGTAGTAATTTTTGCAGCTTCTTAAAAAGATTACACGCCTGCTTTTATTCTCGTGGCTGCTTCAGAGGCAATTGCATGACAAAAAAGTCATATTTTTCACCCAGAATATGCGAAGTAACGAAAACGATAGCTGTAGCACAGTCGTATAATTCGGGCGGAATGGTGTTGTCACAGTGCCTGAGGACGGAAGTGCGACGTGGTTAATTTAGCTTTCGGGGTAAACGTCGTGAATGCCACCGACGACTGCTACCAGTGATCCGCGAATTAAGTGGGTAAGCACGGTGGAGGTCCCTAAAACCATCCAACATTGCGCGTAGCAACTTGATACTGCCAAAGCGCAACTTCACATAACGCGAGTAATGTTTGAAAACAAGTCTTTCAAGCAGACAACACGACCACTCTCCCTTTGTTGCGCCACTCTTGTCGGGATACCAGGGCTGCCCTCTTCACTTTCTTTGCACGTCGGGTGCAAAAAAAGTGAAGAGGGAAGTCTCGACTTCCCTCTCCTCGCGCCAAGAGGGGAGAGAGAAAAAGGTTTTCCATTCTTCGCGCGCGCAATGATGACAACCCACAAGGTTGAAATCTCTGCAAAGTGTTGATCGTAAAGCTGACGCCTTAAAGTGCCGATTGAGGTGTGAGGGCATTCATTTGGGCATGTGCAGGCTCGCTCCTGGTTCCTAACCATTGGCTTCACGCTCTCCTTTGGGGCCATGTTCTCCAAGATATGGAGAGTCCACCGAATCACCACCATGTCGAAGTCGGAGAGCAAGGTGAGCCAGTGCTATGTCTGAGACAACGAGCGTCTGCAAACTGAGAACCTGATCTCCCTATGGTGTTTGTGTGACCATAACGCTAGAGTGCTAGTACAAAGCTGAAAAGAGTGTTACAAACATTGCCAGTCTGATGAAGAACGTCCAAAGTGGTGGTGGTGCCACCTTCCCTCTCTGCTTGCAAACAGGCATTTAACTTGTGCACAGTGGCACGCTTGGGGGTTTTGATAACTGCTTATTCAGCATTTTTCATGCTCAACCAGCATGCACCAGATCATCAATGCGTGAAGATGTGCTTTTATTTTGGTTAATCAGGGAACTTGATATTCAGGCATGCGCCGTCACAATAATAAGACAGCCAGATTGACAGCAAGGACGCCACTTTCTTTTACACAAGCAGGGTCGCAGCCTCTCGTAGAGATCTAGGCTCAGTCAGTACGGTCTGTCGTTTTAGCACACTCTAAAGGCGCGTTCACACCGGCAATGGGCAGCAGTCGTGCGATAACGTTCATTGCAAAAGCGACCATCGCAGAAGAAAAGCAATGTGTTTCGGGCAGTCGCTAGCTGGCCCGACTTTTTGCGATGCGATCTAGTCGCAGAGTGGCTGAGCCAATGAATGGCGTTCGGAGCGAGAGTTTTCGAGAAGTGACTCGCTCATCGCGCACACCAGTGTGACCATCTGATTTTTTTGCGATACGATCAAGTCTCGTCGCACGAGTGCTTTACATCGTGCGAGCGCCTTACATCACCGATGTGAACGCACCTTAATAACTTAACATGCCTTCTGCATAGCAGCCTCGTTAGAGTTTGTTACAGGGTGCATTACCGGCCACGGTGGTTACAGCAGGGGCTCTCAAACTTTTCAGTAACCCTTTCTGGCCCTGGCGCTGACGCGACGAAGTGATGCAGAAGCCCACAGTTCATATAAACAGTGATGCCCGTATACTAGGAGCATCTCTTGTAGTCCGTATAAACAGTAATGCACGTATACTAGGGAGTGTTGCTTGTAGTCCCGCATCAGTGGGCGGCGCAGATCTGAAGAAAGGGTGCTCAAACTAGAAGACCTCTACTTAGTGCCAGGTACAGAGTCAAGGAAACTTGGGAGCTCAAGCAGGACATGAGGCTGTTATGGGGAGCCCCAGGGCTTCCGGGAACCCAGTGTAGGAACCCATGCACTTGTACACGGACAAGTGGCCTGACGTACGCATGCGCTTGCAGGGCCTCTCATTCCAGAAGGTAGAGAGTTGGAAGCTGTACGGCATGGTCGGGGCCATGGTGCTGATCGACGCGGTCATCCTGACCGCCTGGCAGCTGGTGGACCCTATGAAGCGGGAGCTCGAGATCTTCCCCCTCGAGGACCCTGAGATGTCCGATGAGGACGTCAAGATTGAGCCTGCCCTCGAGCACTGCGAGTCCAAGAACCACGCCATCTGGCTCGGTGCGTACAGTGCACTGTGCGGTTGACTTATTGTTTCTGTTCTTCGTGACCGCAGCATGTTAAAGGCCTTAGTATTGCAGAGGCGCAATGCTTTGTAGAAAAATACCGCAACCTTGTGGCACAGCGGCAGCACTTCCGCCAGGAACAAGTGCCATTTCCTGATGGTTCGTTCGAGGAAAGAGCATTACGAAAGATTAATGGTCGTTTGCAGTACACAACCAAACCTTAAATTCATGGTAAAATGTGCATGTGTCTAAAAACACAAATTGGTACATGAAGATTAATTGAAGATGCCAAATCCCTCTCTAGACTGGTCATGAACTAACTTGTTTAAAACAAAAAACTTCCCAACCTTTGCTGTCACCAAAGGCAGTCAACTTTCAACTGTTGTCGAATATGGATGGGGTGGCTAAGCCTGGTTGCATCTCTTTCTGTGTTTTGTTCAGGCGTCATGTATAGCTACAAGGGCCTCCTGCTCATCTTTGGAATCTTTCTCGCGTATGAGACGCGGAGCGTCAAGATCAAACAGCTCAACGACTCTCGACTTGTCGGCATGAGCATCTACAACGTTGTGGTGAGTTGCACAAGCTGCTGTCCCTTATGAATGCCTTTGTTGATCTCGAACAAGGCAGTTTACAGGATTGTTAAGTAAAAAGTTCTTGAAGTGTTGACTGTATATGACGAAATGGCTAAATGTTGATTTTATATTACCAAGTAGGGGTCACTAAGTGGAGATTGTATTATTTAGGAATATCGCTAAGGGTCATTTGTTCTACTAGTAGAAATAATAGAATTGTGCGAATATTCAAATTTTCGAATACCATATTTACTCGCATAATAAACACACATTTTTCCCGAAAAATTGACACATATTTGGAGGTTGCGTTCATTACTCAAGATATAATTTTTGCATTTACACACTTCGTGCAAGTGTCATATTTGCCAATATGAGGTGACAAGGTTACTGTGGCAAGTCTCCACTGACGAAGGCGCACCCACAGTTGGTCGTGGGCGCGCCGCAATAACCTTGCTTTATAAATTGCAAACCTTTATAGGGCGATTTTGGCGTGCCTTTCGCCAAAGGAAAAGCACCCTACGAAGCTCACTCAGTATGGAGACCAACGCGACCATTCTTAGACCAAACCACTTTCATGATTTCACTGTCCGAAAGCGGACCACAGACGACGGCGCGTTTGTTGACATTAGTGCATCCGATGGGCAAAGAATGTTTGGGGCTGGACAATTACTTGACCGAAGCGTCGTTAAGTGTGCATACCGCTCGGTTTCATGGTTGATCACTTCTGCAACTACACACTTGCAGCCATTATGAGAGAGGCTTGGCTTGGCTTGACTTGGCCCGACCGCTTGGTGAAAGAAGAAAATTGGCTTGGCAGGCTTGGTGGCTCTAAGTTGGGTGCAGTTCAAACTCGCGGAGCCGAGAATTAGAGGTGTGTTCATTACGCAAGAGAAAAAAAAGTCCAAATAGTGGTATTCGTTGTGGGGGGTGCGTTCATTATGCGAGTGTGTTCGTTATGCGAGTAAATACAGTAGTAACAGACTTGAGTTGAGCTAATTAATGCGTAGCTAGGATAGGGCCAGCTTAAACCTGGGAGACGTTACAGTCGCCGACTGATTTTTTTTTGCCTCTGAGGGACCCTGAAATCGCCCAAACAATCAAGCGGTCCGAAAAATCGATTTCAGCCATAACATTAAATTTCCGCGCATATTCCGCTGCGTATCGGCCCTTTTCCACTTGCTTGATGTCAATTTTAAGTTCTCGTGCAACTTCCACTTTATATTGTTCATTTCACTTGCTTGTTGATCTGTTTTATCATGGTGCTGTGCTTTGTTGGCGCCTTCGTTGGCGCAAACAGCAAAGTTAATTGGAGTTGGTGCCATTTGGCACTATTTGGAGACATGTTTCGTCCACCAAGCTCGCTTCAATACTAAGCCTATCGGCAAAAAACTTTTGTGCTCAAAGACCACAAGAATGGCTGACGGCCGCTCTTTCTTGCGGTGGCACTCGAAAAACACAGACCACGAGAAGAACTGGAAGAGCCGTAACAATGGGCAGACGGTGGTCATGTTGGCTATAGGGGAACCGGAAAACCCGACCACAGCCTCAACCCAGCTTGTTTATTGCATAGGACGTAGTATTGAGGCTACACGGCAAAATCAAGACGACCAAAATGGCGACGACTAAGCTTGCGGCGCTATTGTGGCGGCTGTTTTGTGGCTGTAAACTGAGGAAATCACGCAAATTATGTCAGAAATATTGAGCAATAAGCGTTTTGCCCTTTAAAAGTTCGGTCCATGTTATACATCAGCTCAGTGGGGTGAGTGACAGTTCGGCAAAAAATGTCAGAATAATCAAACGTTTCCGAAAAATTGGCGTCCGAAATATCGGTCGGCAACTGTATTCGTCTCCCAAGTTCAAGCTGGCCCTATCCTAGTTCAGATAGCAGTTTCAAATTATACATTCTTCGATATTGGCTTCAAGGTTAACTGCAATATTCATAATTTTAACGCGAGGGCATTAAAGGGACACTGACACCCCCCAAAAAAATGTTTTTATTTTTTGCCAGGCGCTTCATTATGGTGTCGGAGGACTACCCAATTAATATTTTGCAACAGAGTAGCGTATTTCTTTAATAAAGCCAAAAGACGCAACTGCTCGAAACCGAAACCGAAACCCGACGGCGGTCAGAGAAGTGGAGAGAAGAGAGTGACTGGCGGAAGTCACGTGGCTACACCCGACCGTGCGTTTTTTTTTTTTTTTTTTTCTCCTCTCCGGTAGCAGACGACACCTGACGACACGACATGCGGCGTGCGATGCGGCGTGCGGGAACTGCTTGCCGTGCGATTCTTTTGCAGTTATGTTTGTTCCGCTCGTTGCTATGTACTCCAAGATGAGTTGTTTTGTACATTGAGGAGTTGGAGATGAGTAGTGAGTGCCCGTGGTGAATTTCCATGATCGGCTCCGAAAAGAATAAACCCAAGATGTTGCGTGAAGAGCTGGCTCACATGTCCTGCATCCGAAAAAAAGTGGCATTGTCGAAACATCAACGGTATCGGGACCAATGGCTGGCTGCAATTCCTGTAGAACATTTACGGGCACCTCGGAAAGCGGATGCTACCTGATTTATATGCTCCTTGCATTTTGTGGAAAGTGATTACATTGAGTTCGCAGGTGTCAAAACGGAAATCCCATACCGTTTAATTCAGCGAAGTATCGTCCACAACATTTGTTTGTTATTTTTTTGTTTGTTTCTTCAGTGATGATTGTAAAAAAAAGAAAAGATATGTAAACATCGGAAATTGTTTGCAAAAAAAAAAAAAAAATTCACGGGGGATCGAACCCGGTCCTAAGGCGTGTGAAGCGGACGTCTTTCCCACTATGCTACTGGGGCATCTCGTTTCTGGTGGATCTCTTTCCTTAGTAATAATTCAGCCGGTAAACTGTAAGTTTGAAAGTTTGCTGTCGAGTTTTCTTTAGCAAAAGCACTCCCGAGTCGAAGTCGGGAAGCACCACGCTTTGGGGACATTCGCACCTAGTAAAGAAATCGTACGCGTGCATATTCAACTCGAAGTAGACACGTCGTGCTTGACGTTTGCGCGAGTGATGTCTTCAGCCACGAGAAGGGAGCGACGGCTCGGCGACGTCTTCGTGCAAATCGGCTTGGTGGCCGGGCGTGTCGTACGGGATGAATACCAATTCTTTTGATCAGTCCCAAATTTCTCTTTTAACGGTAGACAGAATTCGCCGTTACCGCGAACGACAGTTCTGAAATAGAGGTCCCACGCCCGTCGTCCGCTGCCATCGCCGTCCCCGCGAGTCCCACGATACGCGAAACGACGAACGCACAGAATGCTTCCGGTTGTCTGTGGAACTTTTTTTTTCAATCAACGTATTTACAGCTTTTTAGAAGCCACAAAAAATGGGTTTCATGTTTTTTTTCTATTTTTAATATTGAGTGTGTGCCTTCAGTGACCCACGACTTTGATTAAATTTGGTGGTCGCATCGATACCTTAGAAAACGGCCCGTGACCGCGAAAAAGAGAGTGAGCGAGACTCGAACCGGCCAATTCTTGATCGGCGGTTTTCGGGCGGAAAGAAACCGAATTTCCAGCCGCAAATTCTGTTCTGGGTAGTTGAGCCCTCATATGTCACGTACAAATAACAACCTCGGCGAGCATAAACACCCTGTCAGTGTCCCTTTAAGGAGCTCGTGTCGCAGAAAAGCCGGAATCGGTGTCGGTGGGGCAGGAATATTCTGGTTAGTTTATAAGGTCATGTCACAGCCATATGACCTCGCACGGGAATTTCTAACAACCTACCACGCTCACGGGAAACGTGAAGTCATACGTGGAATGAAAGTGATTAGAACATGACATGGTAATGTGAATTAAAGGTTGCCGCATGTCTCAAATGATTTCGCCTTATAAAGTAATTCATTTGCCTTAAAGGGAAACTGAAGCGGTTCTCTATTTGAGAAAAAACATTTCAATGGCCTTCATTCTACCTCCAGGATCAGGAATATCAAGATTATTTTTCAATTTGGTGCACGGAGGCTTCAGAAATTAATTTTTAAAGTACCGCCGAAGCCCCTCCTTCTTGGGGCGTGACGTCACACTAGGAGCGTTCGGAATATCTGCTCTCGCGCATCTTCAGCGCCTGTCAAAGCTATGCACGCGCACTCTTGCTATTTTCAGAAAGGTCAGAAAGAGACGTCACGACTGGTGTCAGTGCGGGAAAATATACCTGGCAAGCTTGCCGTTGCACGCGCTGAACACACGAGCGACACGCGCTCGGAGGCCCGAAGATCCTAGTATGACGTCACGACTGGTCGAATGTTTTTTCGCTTTTTCTCGCTTTTAGTTGCATCTTCGGGGAAAACAAAAGTGATATTCAGATTCACGGAATAAAAATACGCCAGAATTCACCTCTAACTCGTTTTTTTCAAGAAGTGTTTCAGCTTCCCTTTAAAGAAAAGATGTGAAGAATTTCAGGCGAGATTCAAACCCACGACCCTTTGGTTGCGAGCAGCTTGGGAGCGAGGGGGAGTTTACATGTTTAGCTCTCGTGTTCCGCTCTTCAAGTCAAAGCTTATGCGTACTGTAATTTTCTATGTGTTGATTGCAGCAGGTTACTCCTGTTGAGTGTGCCCTTTACCAGGCACTGGTGCACTGCAAAGAAGCAACACCAACGGAGCTCGCTCCCGCGGGTGTTGCTTCTTTTCAATGTGCTAGTGCTCGGTAAGAAGCGCACTCAACGGAGCTAAAATGGCGCAATCAAATCTTTGAGAAGTACAAATATTGCAGCCATGTACTTAGGAGGAAAACACACTTTCGAATAGGGATGGTGCACACGTGCTCCTGGTCATAAAAAGAAATGGAAACTTTGTGAATGTTGATATCTGCATTGCAGTAAAAAATGTAAGGGAGGACACTACCTAGAAAGGTCAACTTCTGTACCACTTGCTTGATTTTAATCAAATTTGCTGTGGAAGTTTATTAGTGGCAAGCCCATCCCTGCCAAATTTCATTGTCCTATGTCAATTCTGAAACTTGTTACGAATGTTTCAATATGGAAATCAGTGTGTTCGCTCAAAAAAACTATCGTTTTAAAATAAAATAAAAATTTTTGATTTTTATGTGTAATATAGTCATAGGAATACCCATAGCACATACCCAGCTAGTTATTTTGCTATATTGGATTGTTTTTTATAAATATAGCTTCATAAGAAGATTACTTTTTTTTTTCATGTCCGCATTTTTTTTTACAAATCTAGTTTGTTTTTGCATAAAAAAAATGTTAAAGTAGAAAAACTAACCATCCAGACATGTTCCTCACAAACTTCTATCCCAAAAAACCACATAAGAATAATTTTCTATTGTGTAATAGAAAAACAATAGTTTTCTTAAAGTGAAATTTATGCCGAAAAGTGGAACGGAGAAAAATGCATTCAAAGTGCTCCAACCCCTACGTTTTTTTTAGGATCGGTGGACCGAAAACAATTTATAAAAAAAATAACTATGCAGTCTAAACTAATTCAACTTTCTGGGAATACTCTTTAGATGCTGGTGGATGTAAATATGGCATTTTTTCAAAATCAACTTTTTTAACCCTTAAATTAAAGAAAATACATTTTCATATAGCAAGAATATTTATAAATCCCCTCGATTAGGCAGAGCTGGGCATTCTGTAGGTTTAATTTTATGTCAAATCTGTCCTTTACTTGCCTTCCCAATGTAGGCATTGAACTTTCTGAGGCCCACAGTCGGTTAATATATTAAGATTAAAATTAACATAGCTTAGAAATTAACAAGTGGAAGTTTGGAAACAGCCTTCACAAGTTCAGCAGGGTTTTCGTTTAAAGGGCCCCTGAAAATAAAGAAAAGTTTTTTTTAAACAGTTTGGGTGGGACACGCGTGTCAAAAAAATTAATTTACGTGAAAAAGAAAATTTTAGAGCAATATTGACAGCGAGAGATTATTTGAAATTCTGCGTGCGAAGTCCACGACGGCACTGGTCATTCCGGAATGACCACCTCGGTCGTGAGGGCGAAGCCGCTCCACCTCTCCTCCACGCGCCCGAAATGCCGAGAGAGAAAACGAGTGGAAAGGAGGTGACTACCAACTAAATCGCGTCTCGTGCTCTGAAATTTTTTTTTTTTTTTTTTTTTTTGCATAAAAATTAATTTTTTGACGCGTCTAAAAAAATAATATTTTGTGCGAACAAAACAATTTCTTTTTTAACAGTCTGGTTGAGACACAAGTGTGTCCCAACCAGACTGCTAAAAAAAACATGTTTTTTTTCTTTTCAGGGGCCCTTTATGCATGGTGATGTAGTGAAAGGCTTGGAGTAACTTTGATACTCAATTAGGAAATATTCAGTGAAATCCACAATTGGCTTTTAATTTGCTTCGAACTCAAAATTCACTATTTGCACGTGCCTAGAAAACAACAGTGTTGATTGTTCATCTCTAAGTGAAGGTCACTAAATGTCAACTGCAGTAGTACTATACAGTAAACTCTCACTTGAGCAAACTTCAAGGGACCCAAGGAAATAGTTCACGTAAGTGAAAGTTCACTAAACTGAATATATTCACTGGAATATGGAACTGTACATCGATATATACAAAGTGCATAACAGTTATGTTGCTGTCTTTCTCATTTTGAAAAAAAAAAATCTAATTTTCATTTGCACTGGCGCTTATGAAGTAAAAAGCTGTCCAGAGTGTCTATGTTTTTTTGCACTTCCTATGGCACAGCTTGTTGCTGTGATGAAGCAGTACCACAATGGCATCGTCTACTGGCTTGAAATATCCTGTGCAGGGTCGTTTCCTGTTCGGATTGAACGCAGTTTCTCCTTCACGCTTCGACTTTTGCTTCACTATCGTTGACAACGTCGACGGTGGAATCCCATAGTCCTTTACAACGTCCACTTGCCTTTGACCGTTGTCCAGACGCTGAAGGATTTTGAGCTCGTCTGATAGAGACATTGCTTCCATTTCGTCGTACTCATTACAAAAGTAGGTGCATATACTGCTGTCCTGCTGTTGTTACCCAAAACTAAGATGGCTGAACGGAACCAATGATAAAGAAAAAACAGACACACCACGTGGTTCGTTTTCGTCTACTGCACCGCTGCTTTGCCTTGGCGGCACTGTAAACGCCAGTGGCGATACGCCACCGGTGCAAAGGCGGCAGCAGTGGCGGGGCTATGCCAGCACTGCAGAGCACGAAACTTCGTTGAACTGATTGTAAAAGTAATCCTGGGTCCACCGATCAAGTTCGTTGAACTGAAATATTCGCTATTCCGAAATTCACTTTTCTTTTAACTGAAACATTTTTGCATAGAATGCATAAAAAAAAAAAAAGAAACGCCAGGAATTTCGATAAAGTTTGTTATTCTGCAATATTCGTTCAACCAACTTTTACTCAAGTGAGAGTTTACTGTATTACTAAATGAAGATCATAAAGTATCAGTTGTATTACAAAGTGAATCTCTCTAATCGTTGACTATACTATTAAGTGAAGACCTTCAAGTGCTAATTGCATTACTCTATGTCGTTTAACCATATGTGGGAGCAAAGCTGAAGCTATAAGCTCCCGCACATTGTTTTGAGCAACACTTTCATTGATACGAGTGTATGTGCACTACATGGCACTATCAGTGCAGACTCCATATCTTTATTCACTCACATTTTAGGTGAAACCGAGTGTAATTGAATACCATCAAATGTTGACTATATATTACTAAGTGAAGAGCAGTGTAAAAATGCTATATGAATGACTGGAGATGTCTAAGTCTCTTGTGTGGACTCGAAGTATTGGAAGCGTGCAGCAAGACGGTGGCACCGCGGTGCGGCTCCTAGCAGAAGCATTTTGCATAGTGTAGTTGCTAATTATAGTTTTTGATCAATGTCACCTTACCTGAGAACAGCTCTATACAAAACGTTCGAGGCCAAGGAAGGCACTGATGTTTTCAACAGAAGACCTTGGAAGTCGAGAACACAGATCCCTTCTATGCACTGGCGAAAACAGCTGCAATCATCTCATTCCCAGTAAATCTGCTCGATCTGCCAGCAAGCCAAGAGCAGCCTGATAAAAAGAGGGATGAAAAATACTTCTCACATAGATTTGGTTTAATCCCCTGCACCGGTGAACTTCATCCTGCAGTTGTTTCCAGATCATTGAATACAGAAGTGCTTCGTAGAGGCAGATTTCAGCACGGACAAACAAAAAAGACAGCAGTGCATTGTCGTCGGTGCCGCTTATAACTGTGGGGGACACGGTTTAATTCGAGCTCCATGCAACTCTTAAGTTGCCGGGAGTTGCCAGTTCCCAAGTAATGTCGGGAGCAGGTAATTGCAAAGGTGAAGGTGTGAAATTTTTACTCCCAAGTGAGATAGAGAAACACGGTCGTGGGAAGACACAGACGCTGCCAAAATGCGGCAGCAGCATTGAAGAGGTCGGAGCGGGCAATGCTTCACTATGCAACGTAACACACGAGCTGCTGTTGGTGGCGCTGCCAACTAGGTTCCAATGTGGAACGGCATGCCCCCCTTAGGTGTCACATGCTCCCAATAGCGGTACAACAGTTTAGGAAAGAAAGTGGCACTGATTGACGCGGAGAATTTTACCAGATCTGTAAACTTGCTGGTTGAGGGTGATGACGCCTGGATTGGTTGACTCACCCTTGCCTGGTTCGCGCCTGTGCAGGTGCTGTGCTTGATCACGGCTCCTGTCACCCTGGTGATTGGCAGTCAGCAGGATGCCACCTTTGCCTTTGTGGCCCTGGCAATCATCTTTTGCAGTTTCCTTTCTATGGCACTCATCTTTGTGCCTAAGGTAAGATGTCCGTTCTGTTTTGTTGCATGTTCTTGTAACTAGCTCATTTGGTAGTAAAGGGGTGGTTGTTGGTTTGGAGGCGTGTCAGACTTGAGCAGCCTTAGACATTTATTGAGTTGTGCGGCAATACTGTGCAAATTGTTCCTCGTTTACTGTCGAAGCTAATACTGTTGCATCCCCTCGAGTGAAAGGCACTAATACCTAGTTTGAACTATGAGCTGCTGTAGGACCCTGTTCTTGTGAAGTCACCTTTGTTGAAGTCCTTTTTATTACACATGCATGTGTAGTGACTGCATGCAGTAGTGAAATGAAAAACTTATAACAAAAAAAAAAAGCTTTAACAAAAAAAAGTTTTTACGTAGTATTAGTTTGTTTTTAATTATCATATTCTATAAGTTTTTGTCTATGCGGATCTACATATGGGAATAGCATGGTGCTCGTGTTCTTGTTTTGTTGCACTTCACACTTGTACACTTAGAGACGAATTTCCCCCAAGCAGTTGTGAGAGTGCATGCACGTCTATCAGGTTGGGACTTTATTTAGCATAAAACCTTTTCCCTAGCAAAAATTTGCAGGGCTGTGCGTTTCCTCTCTCCAGACCTGTATATGTTCTACATTCTCCACTATGGTCGTGATCTCAGCACGTCTTGAGAACTGGTTAGAGCTAAGACCTTGTTACAGTGAACTAGAATATAGGGGTAGTGGAAAGAGTGTCGGCGGCACCCCGTCGGCCACGTGAAGCCAAAAGTGTTGACGGTTGCGAGTGGCGCTGCGGTCGAAATCTCGAGGCTCCGAAGGACATGACATACTGCGTCGCATACATTCTCGGGTGGTTTCTCTGATATCGTTTTTGCTATTTGTTTTCTTAAATGTGAAGTGCTTGGCTTTGTGATTATTTATAGGTTTGAGGCTTGTCGCTAAGCAATGAAATCGAAGAGAAAGAAGATGAATGTGCACTGCTATGTGCCAGTATGCAAGACTGGGTACCCCAGTTTTCTTCAACTGAATCAATGCCCATTGTCACTTCTCGGTGTGCCGAAAATTGGGGCTCGATGCAAGCAGTGGGAAAGAAATCTGCACATTAAGGACAAGCCCCTATCAGAATCATTGGCGGTGTGTGAGAGACATTTGGAGACATAGTTTATTTTGCGTGATTATGTATATGTGCATGTAATCGCTGGTCAGGAGGTCAGGATTCCTCGAGGTAAACCCGTAAGGACCGCTGACGCAGTGCCAACTCTTTTGCCCGACTGCTGCAGCCTACCTCTCCGAGGAAGTGCATCAAAAAAGGCCGGAGAGAAAACTCCTTGTTGCGTACCCGGCAAAACCCACAAGGAAAATGCGCTTGTCTCGTTGCGGTGTCCATGGGCAAAATTTGTCAGATGTCACTAGTAAAGAATGCCCCTCCCTGAAGGTCAGGTTGTTTTGTCCCGGTCCTTCCTAGAAATTTACAGGTCAGGGCTGGGCGATCGTGGACTGCCGCGCTGGGTTGTCACTTCACTCTTGGTGGTGGTGGTGGAGCCTCGAGGAAAGATGCTCAAAGTCGATAGCAACGATTGATAGAAATAAATATATTAAAACGACGACAGTAAACTTGATTACAAAACTCTACCGTTCGCTCACGGCATTGGAAAGACAAAAAAACGCGCCTCAATGCAACGTGCCCACTGCGCACGGTGAGGCTCAAAGAAACTACTTGTCGCTCGCGACAAAGCTACACGGACCGGCAGACCGTGGGAGATGACTTGCTCCGTGCACGCGGCTTGTTCAAACTCAATGTTTTTTCGCCAGCACGGTTGAGAAAACGCCCCGCTGACACAGGGCCAATCCAATCAGGACAATCATACAATTCTATTGGCCCCAGTGCCAGTGGGTCCTCCCCCAATTACAGGGAAGCCACGGAACTCTTTCTTTCCCTTTTCTAAGGAGAAAAACAATGCTAAACACCTTGGGGAACTCTCCTATCAGGGTGATACTTTGCGGGAAAAACACCACCCACTTCGCGGCGTCAAAGCAAATTGGCGTCATGTCTTTTGAACTTTGAAGCCAGCGAGTAAAGCGGAATGAAGTCCAAGTGGACCCAGACCGGTGCCTCTCATCGCCAAAACCCCATTGTAGCAGTCTCCCGACTGGACAAGCCATCACGGGGAACGAACCGTGACGACAAAGCCGGGGAAGGCACCACCACCTCGCGGCTACAGGCAAGAATGTCTGTCTCCTTCCCGGGCCAAAGATGAAAAAGGGCTCAAGCTGCTCATCTCCCTATCCTAGGGGCGAGCTGCCGGGGTGCCCCCATTTGAACAGTTGAAGGTCGACCACCTCACTTTCCAGGAAACGATCAAATCCTCAAGTGATCCCCACATCCTTGTTCAAAAAGAGAACTCTAACCTGAACGTGGCAGAGCCCAGCAAGCCCGCAGGCCTCCAAACCATTCAAAACAACCTCAGCATCCCAAAAGGGTGGACAAAGCTTGGCATGCCAGATCTGGATGGGCTTCTGTATGCCACAAGTATCAGCAAAAATCTGTTTACCATCACCATGCAAAGCTGCTAATGTTCACCAGTGGTGACAGAAAGGGAGGTTGCACTTGCCTTTAGTTTCATGAAAAGGGTGGGCAAAGCGACTGTAGCTTTTCGACAGAAATATTTTCCACAATGACACATTCTTTAATAAAGGCAAGCAGTACATGCTCGCCTTTATTGTAATAAGAATAATAATAATATAGTAGCAATCAATAATAATAATAATATTGATCTTTTTTTTATCGAAAAGACGAGGTACTCTGGGTGCCTCACAAGTCTAGGCAGGCCAACTGGAGCCCATACGCAGGAGCGTCTGCTAGCCAGCAACCCAGAGCTAACATTAGTGCTATACGCCTCTATATTGCACCGAAAGCACGAAACTGCTACATTGCTCAAGTAAGCTTTAAACATTAAAATGTTGCAACACCCATACGCATACATAGGCCACACTAATGAACTACTAAAGTCGAAAACAGCCTGTTTGGTACGGGCTCGTCGCTGGCAGAGCGGCTTCGGAATGGAGCGCCAACGCCACCTGGAAGGTTCTACACGAAGTGCTTCACGTGGAGGCCGCTGCTGTTTTCACTATTATTCTAGTTCACTGTAACCTAGTGGTACCCTGCTTTCAATAATAACTCAGTACATGTAGTGTGCTCAATTGTGAATACTCCTAGCTGTCATCGCTGCTTGCTCAGCATTTTGTGTTTTGACTTTTTTTTTTCTTGCTTGTCCTGGAGTTGGGACCTTGTCAGGCTGCACTTGTTGCAGCTTTTTGTCCCAGCTACCATCTTGATCTGCAAAAGAAAATTGATTGATCTATTGATTGATTGTGCCAGATCATAGAGCTGGTACGGAGGCCACGCGAGCGTGCGGATGTGCGCAGTCTCATGGACACCATCACCAGTAAGGAGGAAGAGGAAAGGCATCAGAGGCTCCTAGCTGAGAATGAGGACCTCAAGAAGCAGATAGCAGAGGTATTGGTTTGTTGATCGATTGCATGCCCTTGTCATGGTAATATATTGACTTCTCTACGAGTTACGTTCGTTCATCTTGCATGTGCTTCACTGCATCAGAGCGCTTTCATTTATATGTTTTGTCGTCATGAGTTAGCATTCTTTCAATATAGTGGAGACCTTGCAAGTGTCTACCAATCTTGTCTGCAACATTACCAAAAAGTTGCATTACCTTTTGGTCTTGGTGTGGATGTAACTTTGATGCATGCAACTTTTGTAAACATTGATGCCAGTGTCAGGTTCAACATTTTTCTAATGCTTTTGCAGCCATCAGATGATGGAGTAGATGCTGGTGTAATCTTTTTTTGTATTTTTGTATCAAAATTGTACCTGTACTCTCAATTTAAGACCATGGTCTTCACAGCTGGAAAACTCACGGATCATAGTTTGGACCCTTCTTGTTTACCGTATTTACTTGCATAATGAACACACTTTTTTTTTTAAAAATTGACACATATTAAGGGGGGTGTTCATTATGCGGGGTAAAATTTTTGCATTTACGCACTTTGCACCAATGTCATTTTAGGTGCCAATATGATATGGCAGGGTACTGTGGCATGTCTCCACTGACAGAGGCGCGCCCTTGGCTGGTCTTGGGCGTGCCACAGTAACCATGCCCTGTAAATTGCGAACCTTTTTTAGGGCTCTTTTGGCATGCTTTTTGTCGAAGAAAAAGTGCCCTACGAAGCTCACTCAGCACGAAGAGCGACGCGACAATTCTTAGGCCTAACCACTTTCACAATATCACTGTTCAAGAGCGGATCACAGACGACGGCGTGTTTGTTGACATCAATGCATCCGATGGACGAAGTGCGACCGGGGCTGGGCATTTCCTCGACACCAGCTTCGCTAGGCATGCGCACCGCTTGGTTTCTTGGTTGATCACTTCCGCAACCACGCAATTGCAGCCATTACGAGAACGGCTTGGCTTGGCTTGATTTGGCCTGGCCGCTTGGCAGCAAAAGAAAATTGGTGGGCTTGGTGGCTAGCCGGCTAGCTAAGTTGGACACAGTTCCAGATTCGCGGAGCCGAAAATTAAAAGTGTGTTTATTATGCGAGAATAAAAAAGTTCAAATATTGATGCCCGTTGTGGGGGGTGTGTTCATTATGTGAGTGTGTTCGTTATGCGAGTAAATACGGTACATTGGTGGCAAACTTCATTGTGCCACTATGGTGATGGTATGTAAGAAAAGTTTTCAACCAAACCTGAATATACTTTTCGTGTCAGTCCTTAAAGAGGCACTGAAAACAATTCACCATGTGTTTTCATAAAAAAAAGTAGCGTTTTTAGTTTTCATAGATTTCAGCATCTTGCCCAAATCTTTTATTATTTTTAGACAAATATACCTTCAGAACTCGGAGCACTAGCAGCAACTGGCATGACAGAAACTTGCACTCTTTCTGTGGCGGTGTGCAAGTTTGTGTGTGAGAGAAGTCAGTGAGTTTTCACATATGAGTGTTTATGTGCATGAGGGTGAGTGAGTTTAAGTCTGTATGCATGAGACTGATTGGATGGGAGAGTGAATGTACATGTGTATAAGAGAGATATTTAAGTCAGACTTATCACAAGTGACTACATGCTGCTAAGGAAACTTAGAAGTGCTAACACAGATGCACACCAAGAAGACATGGAAGCACACTTGTCTGTGCCCCCTTTTTTATCTGTCCCCGTTTTCTCTCGCAAGTTTCCAAAGCACCCTGCATTCAGCTTGCAGCCAACATGCTGCAAATATCACCATATATGCGGTACCACTGGCACGATTGATCCATCTCCTTTTTTTTCCGTTTAAGTCAATTTATAAGACAAGGAATTATTTGTCTGGGTTAAGTCTCCCTCATTGCTGCTTGAACTTACAAACTGCAATATGACCAGTTCAAAAATTCACACCCTCTCATTGTTCATGCGCAGAAAGAGGAACAGATTCAGCTGCTGAACCAGAAGCTGCAGGAGCGGCAGCGCATGGCAACGGCACTGCCGTCAAGCGGGGAGCGGGTGCGCATCGCGCTGCCCCCGACCTACGCAGATGGAATGCTGGCCCCACGGGAGCAGATAGCCATCGACCCCGTCTCGGATTCGGGCTTCGTCACCGGAACGTCCGTAGCACGCGGATCCAGGCTGTCCCATTCGGACTTTGAGTTTTCCGAGTCATACTTATAAGCGAACCTCGACACGCTCGCCTCTTGTAGGCCCTGGGTTCGACGGGAGACTCGCACGAGCCGCAGACGGTGACGTTCCGTCTTCTCGTTTTTTTGCTTGTGTAACCACGTTTATTGCTCACGTGCAAGCGCTGGGGCGAGGGAGAAGCACAAAAACACGTCCACAAAGGGTGCTGCACACAAAACTGTGTGTCAAGGTTAACATTTTTAGCTTTTCACCATGCCAGCTATGTTTTTAGCTCATTTGTAGGTGCTTGAGGAAGGGAGGCAGCCTAAAATTCATCCGCCAAAGGGTCTGCACACAAAACACTGCATTGTGGTTACGGCCTCTTGTGTTTTTCACCCTTATTTCTAGCAAGGTTTGACCATACCGGAGAGGCATTGTGTTTCACTGTGATAGAAATTGGCATTTACTGGAGTAGACATTGTCTACACTGCATCGGTGCATAAAGTCAGCTAATTGAATCTCGTAAGGTGGGGCACTATTACACATAGTTCAGTTGCTCGTCCGCACCAGAGCATCATCTTTTTTTATGACAGTAGGGCAGTACTATAGCATGAAAAATTTACTTGTTTTGGTCTTCATGATTATTAGGCATGTGGCTTATAATCATGAGTTTGAAGCAAATTAAAAGCAAACAGTGCAACCCACTTACAACAATACAACATATAACGATATACTATAGCACTTATAACAATCAGTTTCTAGAGTATCTAGACTGGAAATGATCAGTTTCTAGTCTAGGTACAACGATAATCGGTTATAATTGAAATTTCGGGTTTTTGCATTATCGTTATAAGCGGTTTGCACTAGTGGTTTTGGCCGAATATTTTTAAATAGAATATCGAAAGAATATTTAATAGTTTTTCCAAGTCACTCATTAGCGTACAATATGCTTAAACGAAAATTCAGCTAAACTGGTGAAGGTTGTTTCCAATCTTCCACTTGTCCACTTCTAAGCTCAGTTAATTTTAATATAACCATATGAACTGTTAATGTAAACAACACATTTGTCGCAGCTATCCTGATCGAGAGGATTTATAAATTGGCTTTGCAAAGGCATATATTGTTTCTCTTATTTTAAATTTGACAGCAAAAGAAAACAAGCGCGAATGATGAATGCAGACTGTCAAGACATCGCCGCCTAATGTATACTTTTGCATAATCGCGGCAGGTTAGCCCCATTGAGTGTGCTTCCCACTGAGCGCCTGTGCACCGCGGGGAAACAATACCCGCGAGCTCGGTGGGTATTGCTTCGCCGCAGTGCACAGGTGCTCGGTCAGAAGCGTACTAAACGGGGCTAACCCACTGCAATCAGCACTTCGAAAAGTATGAATATCGTAGTTCGCCTCGAAGCAAATATTGAATAGCGCATTATTCGAAACTACTATCTGGAAATTCGAATATTCGCAGAACACTAGTGATTATATATCCACAGAAAGGCAGAATTACTATTACAAGTGTTTAGACAAGGACTATCAACCTGGAATAATATGTCGGAGTGAACACCAATTGGCTTAAAGGGGTTATGACACGAAAATTAAACAGATTATAGGAACATACAATGGGTCCTAGCAGTATTGTTATATCATATTTTATTTTTGGCATGTCATAACCCCTTTAATGAAGTTTCAGCATCTAGGCTTTTTGTTTTCAGTTGATTTTCCGCATTACAGTTGGCACAGATTTATCGGTGATCATGTAGCAGTAAAGACTGAAAATACTAGTCGCCATTTGCAAGGTCTAATTTCGACAGCTAGTCCAGAGATCTTTTCTCGGCCCCTTCGACTAATCTGAATTCAGTCGCAACCCCCTTTGTTCATTGTGGCCAAACTCCTGAAATTCCTGATGGGCACACCTTTCTCGTTCACTGCGGCACGTGAGGCATCCTCGAAAGGCCTTAGTTGCATGTGCATGTAATGGAGGAAGCACAGCCTCCCTGAGACACGGAAGGCAGGCTCACCTTGTTTTATGCCAAACTTTTCTTCCCTTTGTGTGCTTCAGTCCGATCTTGAGTTGCTTGTGCGACATATGTTTCATGAGAAACGGACTCGCTGGTCGAGTTATTAGTAGATTGTGGAATCTCGGTTTTTTTATTTTATCGTTGCTCTCGGCGGCTCGTGCGTGTCCCCTGGGCGAGGTGTCGCTTACTGCTCGGCAGATTTCTTCGAACGAGGCAGACCTTGGCACAGCGTTCACTGAGGCAAGAAAAATGCAACGAGCCTGCCAGACCATCCCGAAGGGAGACTGCACTGTGGAACACACTTTTCTCTATTTTTGTTTTGGTTGTCGCAGAACACCGAAGCCCGCAGCTCGCAGACATGTGCACGCGACATTGCGAACAACGGTGCGGATGTTGTCTGCTACTCATTTTTGGACTGTGATACCCCAGGTATCCGTGTAAGAATGCAAGCAATCTACAAGAAGCACAATTTGTATTTACAGTGCTATTACTTCGCCATGTTTTTGTTTTGTTTTTCTTGCAGAGTTTATTTTGAAGCATTCCCTTTTTGTTGCTTTTAGATGGTCCACTATGGAAAGCACAATTTTTATTTACAAGGGTTATTACTTACACCGTATGTTCTTTTTTAACTTTTGCCTGGAGAGTTTGTTTGGAAGCATTAACTTTTTTTAATTTTAGGCAGTGCCAAATTTGTGTTTTGCTTTGTGTGATAGTACTTTTGATATCTTTTGTTGGTGCATTTTTACTTCGTTCAGATATGTTTTAGAAAACTTTTGTTGTTGCATTCATTTGTGTTTTGTTTTTATTTTTGTTGTAACAAAGGTTGGCCAAGTTGCTGGAAAGTGTTGTATTTGGACTGTGTTCATACTCTTTTTTTTTCCTGATTTTCAGTTACGCTGCATTTTGTTCCTGGTGACAACACTGTGTTTTGTTCTGAAGTGCAGGGCTTTTGTCATGATGGCGGCACTTGACACGGCAGAGCTTTGGAGACAAACACACAACAATAGTAGTACAAAACTTGTGATGCATCCGTGACCTCATGCTCCTCATCAGGCCTTCTTTCATTTGCATTTTTACAAGTTGCAGTTGTGATATACGAGCTGCGAGCTTGTTTATACATATTCTCACTTTTCGACATGCTCCTTGGAGCAAAGCTACTCTGTGGTGACATCTATCGTTTTGTTCCTGCATTGCTTTTTCTTTTTTTTTTAACCTCAGCTTATTTAAAAATTTATTTTGAGGTTTGATATTATAATTTTAGGGCATCATTATTTGCCCGTTGACAGAGTTATACTCCAGAAGAAGGTTCACTGCTTTTCTAATTTCTCATAAAAGTATATTTCTCCAACATCGGTGACTCATTGTTACTGGGATTGTGCTGTTAAAATAATTTATTCTATAGCAGTGCTATAGGAATAGTGTGCCATAGTCATTATTCATCACCTGAAGATCTAAGCAAAAAAGATGAGCAAGTTTAATTTTCATTGGAGCAATCTCTCATTTTACGCTTCTCAATTTGCTTTGAATGCATTCAAATGAAGTTTCTGGGCTCTGTTGGAGCTAAGGTCGCTGGATATAGGCTAGGGGTGGTTTTGCAATGCACTTCTCAAACCTCTTCTTGAGGGTCAGCTAGGACGCTCTCTGTGTTGTTGCCTTGTAAATAGACAAAACTAGAAGTCAGCAGTCTGGAAAGCATTAAACAGCATAGTTTGAGCCACACCCGTCATCATTGTTAACATGTCTGGCAGCGCCTTTTGGTCGTACTGTACATAAGGCTGTCTACAATCACGACGAAGCGTGTCTTTCTTATATCTTTGTTTGATCGGTTGTCGCATGCATTAGTTGACGATCGAGCCCCTTAGACCGTGATGCTATCCCATTACCTGCTTCTACAGTTTTCTGCACGACGTCTGGTCGCAACCGTCTAGGGCTTTTGTTTTCGTTATTGTTGTTGCCGAGATGCCATTCGTTGTCTTCTAGTCAGGAGCATAGTTTTACAAGTCCGGCGAAAAAAGAGATGCTATCCGGCCCAGAAAGTTGCAGGCGTTTCAGGCAGTAGAGTAGCCTGCCCATCAGCACCTATATAGATCCGTTGTGCATTATGATGCGCTGGCCTCCCACTTCAAGATCAAAGCCCTGTTGTTGAACCGAACAAGCTCATCAGTTATAGGACAGCAGGGAAAATACCAGTGGAAGCAGAGATTGGGTTGCGACATGTTTCAGTTTTAATGCCCACCTTGTGAAGTGTGACTGCCTTGTCTCTAATTACTTTGACTCTACGTTTTGCATACTGCCTGTCCTCACAGTATTACACTCACCACCTCTGTTAGCTAGAACATGGCAGATAGACCATGAAGCACAGTCAGAATCTCGCTTTAGAGTTCCGAGACGGGGCGTCGGGTACAAACACCCTTCTTGCAATCGTGCGGAGCTCTATTGCAAGTTTTGTCGACGTATGTTAAAGTTTTGGGCGCTACTTGATGCAATCCTGCCTAGGCCTGTTTCTATTCGCTTCTTTGTATGTATGTTCCCTTAGAAGATGACAACTTTGGCTGTTGATGATGTGCGAATTATGATGCTTGCTCCGGCACCGATTGTCCTCTTCCACTCCTCTATCTGTTGCCGACTGTGTTGGCGTGGTTAGCCGGTGCCAGGCTTAGGTTGTGAAGCTACCCGTGTGCTTGGTCTTGCACTGTGAAGTTTTTTGTTGGCAGGTCGGTTTCTTTCTTATCTGCTAGCGTCGATACTCCTAAGAAGTGTCAAGGTGCACGCTGTGTTCTTGTGCAAGCTGTCTTCACAAAGGCCGCCATTTCTCTCTTGTTACATGCCATTGAGGTGGGAGGTATTTATTTCGCTGCATCAGTTAGAGCTTGCCTAGTTGTTGCCTTTACTTGTGAATCTCCTTTTACATTCATGCTTACTCTTACATATATGCTAAAAAGGCTATTTACTTTTACTTTTTAGGATTCTAGCTGGATCTACCTGTTTCACCAAGTCTAGAAATCAAATAATACAGATGTGCATGTCACATTTTTTCTATGAAACGCATCACCAGTCTTGTGCGCTTTCCCCATCTGCGCTGAGGAGGGAAGGTAACAAATCGGCCGAACAGCAACTATGGCCTTCCATCAGTCATCCTCTAAGTACAGAGGATAAGTGAATAAGGTTAAGAACAAAAATATTAATGCCGGGGTTAACACATGATGCACAGCCAGAGAGGAGAGAATCTCCCCTCGATTCCTCTTTTCCAACTCGAGAACAAAGGAAAGTAAGTTTTCTTTCTGTGGGGAGTAGCTCAGAGATGCGTTCTCTTTGGGAGAGGAGAAAAGAGTGTGAAAGGGAATGGATAGGACAAGGAGCAAGGATTTTCTGCATGGCAGAAAAAGAGTTCTGTAGGTCGGCGTATAACACCAATATTTTTCTTGTGCGGGCAATGGATTATTTCAGCCATTGTAGAAGGTTGACCCCTTTTTGAAGCAGGTAGATTAAGTCTTGGAAAGATGGCCAGAAAAGTATTTAGTGCAGCTTTACGTTGCTCAGTAGGATCTGGTTCCCGTGGACAGTGCAGTCCGTGGTGTGCCGCTTTAAAGTTGTCAAAAACCTTTGATTGTAAGTCTGCACGTTCAATTCGAAGCTTATAGGCAAAAGTCAGTGTTGCTTTGTTGGGAGTGGATGAGTTAAAGTAGCTACCTATGGAGTACCATTCTTACTGTCTACACTTGCACATAGTTTGTTTATTTCTGTTGCAAACTCTGAAGAAAAAGTTGAGCGTTGTTTTTACATTCCTGCGTCGTTCAAGAACCACAAGGCACTTGATACATTTCATGAGGAGGTATAAGATAGGAATTTATTCTACATAACTGATGTGGCGAGCAATGTGAAAGCGAAGTACAAAAGTTTAAATCTGCACGAGTCTGCTTTTCAGCAGATTCATGTATATTCAAACTTTACACGGGGTTACCGGGTTGTTTTCACCTGTACATAAATGCTGCTCCTTCCTCCCTTGTGTCCAGTGAGTTTTGTAAGATTTGTGTACTGCCAAAACGTTAGCTGCCAATAAATTTCATTGACACTGTCGCGCCGCAACAATCTTTTCCTGCGCTGCTTGCACGTTGGGTACCATTTCACCTTGCATCCGTGTTGGCTGCATTGCGCTATGTGAGCTTATTGGGCTGTAACACAAAGCAAATTCTTCAAAGGTAATGAATGTGAAATAATTATGAAATTTGAGAGGATCGGCATTGCTCTCAAATTTCACATCATGCATTTTGGATGTGACACACCTTATATGCATAACTACCATTTTTGTTTTGCAGCCAGAGCTTCATTGTCATTCTTTATCTTTATTTTTTTTCTCTATATTTGTATGAGCATATGGTACCGTCTAGTGCAGCGGTTTCTAAACCATGGATGTTTCGCGGACCCCTTGTGGATCGGCACAGATGATGGAGGACCCCGTTCGTGGCGAGGGGAAGGGAAAAATATAGGTTAATTATCATAATGATTTAGTATTTGGATATAACTATGGGCTAGTGTGAAGTAGACTGCTCATTGACATACACACAAGAAAACTTGCCCGAAATTTGGAACATTTCTTCTCAATCTGAAAAAAGGCAACTTTTATTGCCGGTCTTGACTGATGAGGCAGGGCTTCGTGGACCCCTAGAATGCCTTTGCAGACCCCCATTTGAGAACCACTGGTCTAATGATACGAAGGAGGTAACCACCTTAAAACAGATAAAGGAAGCGTCAGGCTTGCACCAAACTACTGGCAATCGTGTCTCCCGAGGTAAAGCCAGACCAAAACCAACAAAAATGTTGTACTATGCCATACACTTTATTCACTGCAAACTATTACACAGGTCATCTTTGTTTGCACACAAACACCAGCTGCATTGACGATTGGGAAAACAGAAAAATAACACAGGAAGCATGATTTTTACAATACTTGCAAAATATTGGTCTTCAACAAAGAAAGTCTGAACTTCCACTAGGTAACATTGATCACGAAAAGCTAAAGGAGAACCACACGTATGAACCGCAAAATGAACTCCGTCGGGACGAATTTGCTACGACTTGTTTGGTATGATGCGACCCACATAGACTTCAGCTTTGTGCAGCAGAAAATTTCTGCTCCTCGTGTAACGCTCCGGGTTAACTCATGTTTATTCCGTCCCCTGTTAGATGGCTCCTTCATGGGTTGTCGCAGTTTGTGGCTCGAGGAGCGCGGTGCGACGGGCGTTTTCACGGCTGATACTTTGGTTGATTCTGTTCAGCCTCTCCTGCAAGAAACAAGCACCAGGTGTGAAAGAGCTGTAGAAGTTGCTTTTCAAAAGTAGTTAGGTCAGAGTTACTCAGGCTGAGACGTAATTATGTTACAAGTTTGGTTACAGTATCGAAGAGTATCTAGTTATTGGTACACTAGCAAAGAGCAACCAAGTTATGTTCCAATTACCTTAAGAATATGCCACGACCTTGAGGTGCTGTGCAACTCCTGAGGAATGTCTCAGTTTCAAGCGTGGAAAAGATATTGATACAGTTCTGCCATGACTTGGCTCTCTGCTTGCAGAGTTTGGGGTGGTGAATATACATAGTGGCAATGTTAAGCTAACTTTCACGAAGTTAATAATCATTAACATTTCATTGTAAGTTGGCAAGAAAATAAAACTAACTATAGTCACAGCAACTTAAATACCTTTAATTAATTAATTTTACTCATTTATAGTTGCTCAAAATTTCATGGTAATGGTGGTATTTAAAAATTTAAGTCGCTAATTACACCCACTTGGAGGGACACTAAGGTGGATTTCGAGATTTGTTTTTATGGCACAAATTCGATCTACACACCCTAAACATCGTATAAAACCCAAAATTACCATCGCATGGTTTCTTTCACTTTTATAAATGCTATTGAACTCCATGACATGCTCCTTTTTCTGAGATATCTCAGGAAAAGGGGCGTGTCAAGGTGTTTGGTTGCATTTTTCAGGGTTAAAAAGGCCGTGCGTGATTGTAATCTTGGGTTTTGTAAGACGCTCAGGGTGTGTAGGCTGAGTTCACGCTATAAAAAGACAACCTCAAAATTCACCTCGGTGCCCTTTTAACTACATTAAAGGGGCCATTAAATGAATTTTGGGCTGGGATAAATGAATGAAGGTTGGGATATCACCAATATCATATCGCTTAGTGGGCCAAAACAGAGAAGGTAGAAAGTCAAAAAGCTTGATTTTCAGTCAGAAAGTTTGAGAACATGCAAACTATTTTGTACCTCGTTCCTTTGAAAGCTCTCTGCCTTTTCAATGTGTACCTCTGCGGTACCCAAAGCATGTCACCCGGCCCCAACGCACATCACACGACACTGGACCTCACTTATTTTCTTTACACCTAAGCTGACAGCGCAGTGGGAGCTACGTGCTTACCAGACCAATCAGCCACCTCCCTTTCAACACTTGACCCCTATCTCTGTACATGGGTATGCGCGAGGGAGCGCGACCTCGTGGAAAAAGTGTGGCTGCCCCAACAAGCACGTAGCTTCCACAGCACTGTCAGCCTATGGGTGAATGGGGTGGGGAAAGCAACTTTTGTCCGAATTTTGAGCAATGGGCTAATCTTCTAGGGGGAGAATGGCAGTGACCGGGTACACAAACGACGGTTTGAGCAAGAGGGAGGTTCCACCTTTCCCTCTTCTTGAGCTGTTTGGTATGCTGCACGATTTGCGAGTTGAGAAAAAAATAAAAACGAAAAAGTTGAAAAATTATTTCATGGCCCCTTTAAGACTAGTTATTCAAAGCCCTGGGTGTGACGTGTGTTTGTATAGGCCAGCTCACCTGCGTGTTCTGGAGGATACTATTGACGAGCACCACTCTCCGTTTGGCATTCAGCAACTTCTTGACGTAACCGTCCAAGTCATATGGGACCTCCTGTTCCTCGGACACTCTGCGGAGGTCTGTGCGTAAACGAAAAGTCCTTTCAACATTGCGTACTTGCTCCATCTACTGGAAACAAATGCACCAATTGTGCAATGCGTCAATGAAAATAATTACAGGTTGGGTTCCAGGTTTTCTGTGCTTGCCAGAAAAAACACTGACAAGCTGAACAAAATTAATAAATTAGTACGAAAAAAAAAAAAAAAAAAAAAGAACTTTTATTAAAAATTTGGTGTTTATAATATTTTTGTTCCACTATCTGGAAAAATGCTACTAGGATAGGCATGCAGACCTGTGGTTATTATAATGCTAAAATAACACTTAAAAATGTAGGTGAGTTGGTGATTTTTCATTTCTTCTGTTGCCCCACAGTTGGGAAGTTTCATGCAACCGAAACAAATACTGCTTACACTCGTATCGTCTTAGTTTAGCTCGTTCTTGAGCACTGCTGCTGGCTTATTTACAAAATATTTTTAAGCTATTTACGCGTTAGTATACAACAAGCACTGATGAACAAAGTTTTTCTGTTGCAAAAAAACAAATCCTGACTTAGAACGCTACATGGTGCCAGATATAAATGTTGAAGACCAGAAACTTTAGGAGTTGGTAATGAGCATATATTGTACGATTATTAAAAACGCTCATATTATATAAGAGGGCTATGAAATCTATAGCCGCGTTTACATGAATGCGACTTCAGCGCATCGACTCCAATCGTCCTTCGAGTGAAGCCGATGCGGCAATATTTATGTGAATGCACACCAAGCCCTACGCGGAGGTGCCACCACGCCGTGTCAAAGCTCAAAGTTAAAGCTGCGTTTCCTGCACCGGCCGCACCACGTGACCATGTTTTCCGGTGCATTGCACGTAAAGGCCTTTCAGCACCTTCAGCGAGCATAAAGACTGTGCTCGCTGTCTTTGATGCTGTGCAAGAAGTTACAAGACGAAAGAAGCATCAAAACCCAAGGGTTTTGGGCTTTGTGTCGGGCCGCTGGGCCAATCTGGATCAGAGGCGACGTGCGTGCGTACGACCTGGCGAGCGAGATTGTTTCCAACCGCTCTGAGGACGTCACTGCACTTCGCCTCGCCAAACCTTGCCAACTGCGACTGGACCCCGACGCTAAAAGGCTCTGCCGCAGCCAGGAACAGCACCGAGGTTGGAGCTGCTCGTTCTGCGCTACCATGCAGTGCTTGGAGCTGTCGACGTCACTTGTGCATGCGCCGAAGCCTTTAGAGACTCCTTCGGATGCACAAGTCGTATTTTGCAAGACTTGGACAAGGGCCACCCTCACTGAGCAGCTCAGCTATATTACGCTCACTTGTGGTAGCAAAAAAGGATTGCGTTTCTTCTCGGGAGAAAACTTGGGGCAACCAGACGGGACTGCTATCCGCCGCCGCCACCAAGGTTGGCCGCCGCCATGTTCCCAGCTGTTCACTCGCTCACGCAGCGAGGGCCTTTCCATAATCCTCCCCATTCCAAAATGCAATGCGACCTTTGTTTACATGGATTGAATGAATGCATATTCGCCCTCTCGATCAACCTCTGTCTAGCAACTTGAATGCGATGCGCTTCCCTAGCGCAATATGCCGTTTACATGACCGCATTGAATGCAACAACAGGATTCGATGCGACTAACTCGCATTCCTGTAAACGCAGCTTCTGCATATTTTCCTGAAAACGAGACCTAAATCTGAAACATTCTGTGCAGGTATTGAGAAACTTTGTAATGTGATGGCTCACAATTGTGCCATTATGTTCCGTTATTGGCTATGCACAACAACTGAAGTGACATCTTTGACAAGAGATGGCACGTGGACATGAACTCTAACGAAGATTAAAGGGGTACGGAAACCAAATTCTGGAGCTCATTTCTTTGTTTCAACACGACGCAGGTAGCAGCACAACCACAGAAACATAAATATTGCGCTAGAAAACGCAAGAAAACATATTTTAAAGTGAATTAAACGATAATCAAAAACCACCTGGTAGTTGGTTATGAAGCTTCAATGGAATGTCGTGACGACAACATGCCTCTGAAAGCAGCGCCGCAGCGGTATGTCCGCTCACTGGTATAGATTGCCTAGGCCTGAACGCAATACCGAGGCGTCTTGGTGGAAAGAGCCAAAACGAAGTGAGCCACCTTGGTTTCAGCTCTCGCGCGACGTGCAAACGCGTGCTTCGGTTGTTCTCAGGTTTGGTGCGCGTGCTGGCCCCGCGATCTCTACAGCCCTTGGGTACTTCGACAAAGCGAGATTGTAACGCGTTGACGCCTCCAAGTGGCAAAACTCGTCACTACGGTACGCTTGGTCGTCCGAGGCATGATGACGTCAAGACGTCTGCCGGATCTCCCGAGATGCATCGCGCTCCTCCATGGCTGATTTTGAAGCGCTCGCCAAAATCGCGGCATTTAGAGCATAAAATATAGCCATCTGCTCAAAATACGACCGTGCGATTATTCATTATAGGCTTAGCTGATCATATTGAACTCATTTCTTGATGTTTTCTCTATATTTCAAGTTTCGATTCCGTATCCCTTTAAAGGTTTAGCGCGTTTTTTTATTTATTTATTTATTTGTGTATGGAAGTTCGAAGATAATTTTGAAAGCATACTGATCTGAGCGAATTTAAATGCGTTTAAAACTTTGAACACGTCAAAAAATAAGAACAGTTTGTGTATGTTACCCACCTTCGGCTAAACTGTCGATGTGTTGTCGAAGTTCGAGTTGACTGACCCTGTGTAAAACACAAGAAGGAATAAGACACATCGCAGACGCGACACCTCAAGAGCTCATGAGGTAAGACTGATTTTCCGTGTACTCATTGAAACTGGCATATGTTGACATTTACGCCCGCGCGTCATTGCTCGGGTCGCCAAAGACGATTTTTGTTTCTGCCGGCGGGCGAGCTTCAACGTTTTATCGCAGCCAAAAGGGCCAGCACAAACACAATCCCTGTGCTCATCCTTTTTTTCCCCCCAAGTGACGGAGAAACGTTACTTTCGAGCGCATAAAATCGCCCGGTTGGCTTTTCTCGCGTTAGAGACAGCGTCACTTCGATAATCAATCATTTTTTGTTTGTAGATTGCAATCGGGCGGAGGCCTTGGGCTGCAGACTTCGCAGAGGCGGACAGACAGGTACCGACCTCGTAGACTTGACGCGCTCGTCCAGCTGTTCGATGGTCGGATGCAGCAGACCGATCAGGCCTTCGGTCAAGTAGTCTCTGGGCGAGGGCTCTGAATAAGCTTCGCTGCGGTCGTCGATAGACGTGGTGGCACTTTCGCTGTCCTCCATCTTTGTAAACAAATCCTGGCCACGACCGGCTTGTGATTCGGGGCTTGACATCGGCTTGACTTGGGATTCACAGACTGACTGAAATAAAATCGAACAGGGGAAGCGGTGTTCGTCAATTTTGGCGTTTCTGGCGCTCTGTGCTGCAACACTGGTTTCCCAGGCCGCCAAATTTCAAACCTTTGGGTACAGAGGCTACCACTGTGGAGGCTACTTTGGGCGCGGTAAAGGGACCATGAAATGATTTTAAAATCGAGTTTCATCCACCGCACGTCGTAAAAGGTGTGAAAAGAAACACAAAAATAGGGAGCCAAAAAAAATTATTTGCTATAGAACTTTTAAAAGAAAACTGGACTCTTTTGCGCCTTCCTTCCTTCGCCTGTTCACTACGATGCATCCGCGGAAATGGAGCACGTCAGCCAAATCCAGGGTAAGAGCCAACGTTACTAATGGTGAATTCCACTCGTAGATCTGGAGCGCTTTCCAAAATCCGCGAGGGAGGCAAAATTCCGCTCCGTGGGACCCGCTCCGTATCGACGAGGGGAAGATAAACTTGCATTTTTGGAGCGACCTCCCCCACACCCCTCCCCACCCCTTCTCCTTCCGCCGTTCAAAATGGCCGCTGCTCGAACTTGACCAGCCCACCAACGCCTCAGCCGGCTGATCTTTCCGACGACCAGTGACGACTGTCACTGCTTAGCTGCAGAAGTAACACGCGACACAGGCCGGGCGGAATTATACGTACCACGGCGCCCATGTCACAAATAGCGAAGACGTCCGCGTTCGGCACCGTCACATACCTTTTGGCCGCCTCGAAGCGGCGGGGCACGGACAGCGATTGCCAGCGGTGGAGTTCAAATTGCTAGTACGACTTTAATAAACACAGAGGTAACAAACCATCACTTGCGCGGTCGTTGCCTAACCACATCTTGCTTTATTTCACGGGAAAACGCCGATGGAATGCAGTGTAAAAAGGTAAACAATCACTGGCTGCAGAATGAATAGGCCTAACCTTGCGTCTGCCCCCGGCTTTTCTGTCGTTCTTTTTTTCGTTCTTCCTCGGTGATCACAGATGTCAGCGCTTACGATTTGCCACGCTCCACATTCCCGGCTTTTTATCCCTGATCTACGCGAGGTAGAAGCGTTCGAGCCGTCACAGTCCAGAGTAAACAACCGACGCACCCGAACAGATCCAACTCCACCGACCGGCCCGCCGCTCTCACCGACCGGCCCGCCGATCTCTCCAACCTCGTCGCGCATGCGCACCGCCGATTTAGACGGAAATCACGTGGGCCGCTCTGTCAATTTCCGGAGAGATCTGTGAAATCCCGCAGAGCAAGTTCGGCGGAGTTTGGGGCGCTCCGTGGAGCGGGCGCTGCCAGAGATCTACGAGCGGAAGATGACCAACTTGAGCCAGATCTGCGAGCGGAATATGCGCGCTCCAAAAGCGCTCCATTTGGAGCGCGCATATTCCGCTCGCAGATGACAGAGCGGCCCACGTGATTTCCGTCTAAATCGGCGGTGCGCATGCGCGGCGAGGTTGGAGAGATCGGCGGGCCGGTCGGTGGAGCTGGATCTTTTGGGTGCGTCGGTTGTTTACTCTGGACTGTGACGGCTCGAACGCTTCTACCTCGCGTAGATCAGGGATAAAAAGCCGGGAATGTGGAGCGTGGCAAATCGTAAGCGCTGACATCTGTGATCACCGAGGAAGAACGAAAAAAAGAACGACAGAAAAGCCGGAGGCAGACGCAAGGTTAGGCCTATTCATTCTGCAGCCAGTGATTGTTTACCTTTTTACACTGCATTCCATCGGCGTTTTCCCGTGAAATAAAGCAAGATGTGGTTAGGCAACGACCGCGCAAGTGATGGTTTGTTACCTCTGTGTTTATTAAAGTCGTTCTAGCAATCTGAACTCCACCGCTGGCAATCGCTGTCCGTGCCCCGCCGCTTCGAGGCGGCCGAAAGGTATGTGACGGTGCCGAACGCGGACGTCTTCGCTATTTGTGACATGGGCGCCGTGGTACGTATAATTCCGGCCGGCCTGTGTCGCGTGTTACTTCTGCAGCTAAGCAGTGACAGTCGTCACTGGTCGTCGGAAAGATCAGCCGGCTGAGGCGTTGGTGGGCTGGTGGCTGTCCCTATTCGCACTCCGAGTGCGGATAGTGGTAGATTCTTATCCGCACTCCGAGTGCGGATAATTTTGGATTCTTATCCGCACTCCGAGTGCGGATTGCGTTGGATTCTTATCCGCACTCCGAGTGCGTGGGGCGAAAAACTTGGCGTGGGGCGCTGGCGTGGCGCGACTTGGACGCGGGAAACTTTGAACATAGTGACTTACCATGTTCGTGGTGTGACATTGGCATGTTGGCAGCACCGATTTCATAGAAATATTAGTGGTTGTGCGGTGATTGATTGGGAGGAGACCTGTGTTTCAGAATGAATTTAATTTCAAACAAATGAATAATCGTAAACATATAATTAAAACAGAGCGAACGAACACAAGGACAAGTAGAAAAAGAGACACAGCCACAGCGCTGACTCGCGATTTACTCTTTTTTGTCTTCTTAAAGCACATCAACATAAGAAGACGCGAGTCAGCGCTGTGTTTGTGTCCCTTCATCTACTTGTCCTTGTGTTCGTTTTCGCTGTTTTGATTATATGTTCACTATGCACCACCGACTAGCTCACCTCGCTTTTTTTTTTTTTTTTTTTTTTCTCTTTTTTTTTTTTCCGATATTGATTAGCGCTAGATGGTGTATTTGGGTAGAGACTGAACTGTACTCGTGCCTCGGGGGCTTGAAAAAAAGCATGAACACAGGACGTAAGCAATCCTATTGTTCCTTCAGTATCCTTTTTTTTTTTTTTTTTTTGTTAAACAAAATATTATTATTTGCAAAAAAAAAAAAAAAAGAAACGGAAGCTGGTTTAAGATTTGTATTATAACGCGCCTTCGCCACAGTCAGCACATTAACATTGTGTGGTGGATAGGGGCAGTAATGTGGGAACGGTGGGCGGCTAGCAAACAATTTTCAATACACAATTACCCCCCCCGCCCCCCCCCCCCCCCCCCCCCCCGCCCCAGACCACACGCACACACACACGCAGAGATGTTCCAAACTTCCGCTGCCGCCACGCCCAAAACCCGCAAGCTCAGTGTTCGGCACCCTCGGCATATATGTTTAACATCTTCGATCACACAACCACACAAAAACATCTTTTAACAGCCATCACATCTATCGTCGTCTACTTGCAAAAGCGCAAATCATTCTATTAAAAAAATTACTGTAACAAAGGGCCGGGGACTTACCAGGCATTCCCTCATCTAGTAGTGTTGAAAGTGTTCAGAAGATTGAGCCGGGGGGGAGGGGGACTTCATTTTTTAATAATATTGTTTACTGGAAATGACTGATTTTCCTTACCCCCCCCCCCCCCCCCCCTTTTTTCCTAAGCCACTGCCCCCATCATCTAAGCACAAGACAATACACGTCACAAATTGCACACTGCTCTAGTTTCTTTCTTTTTTCTTTCGTCAATAAAAATATTTAACCGTCCAAAAAAAAAAAATATCGCCAGAACTTTTTTTTTTTTTTTTTTTTTTGGGGGGGGGGGGGGGGGGGGTTGTAAAGCTGATGTGTTTGGGAACACAAACACGCACACACACACGCACGCGCACGCACACGCGCACGCACACGCACTTGATCGCCTCTATCCGATCTTCGAGGCGTGAGTACCGTTTAATCTGAAACGCACCACCCAATGTTAATTTTTTTTTTTTATAAAACAAAAAACATTTTCTTGAAATTATTTTAATTCTGAAACCGGAACCGCCAATATTTCCATACGCTCGTCGAGGCTGCCAACACGCCAATGAATCAACACAAAGTTGAGAACTTCTAAACCACTGTGTTCATAGTTTCCCGCGACATAATCGCGCCACACGCGGAGTGCAGGTAAAGAAAATCCAACGGCTTCGTGCCAACGGCTTCGTACCCCCGCCACCCCCGCCCCGGTGCTGTGGCTGCCCGGTGCCCCCGGTACAGCGTCCGCGACAATCCGCGCCTCCGCACGCAATCCGCACTCACGCACTCGGAGGCTCGGAGTGCGGATAAGAAGCCAACATAATCCGCACTCGGAGTGCGGATAAGAATCCAAAATTATTCGCACTCGGAGTGCGGATAAGAATCCACCACTATCCGCACTCGGAGTGCGGATAAGAATCCACCACTATCCGCACTCGGAGTGCGGATAAGAATCCACCACTATCCGCACTCGGGGTGCGAATAGGGACGGCCGGGCTGGTCAAGTTCGAGCAGCGGCCATTTTGAACGGCGGAAGGAGAAGGGGTGGGGAAGGGTGTGGGGGAGGTCGCTCCAAAAATGCAAGTTTATCTTCCCCTCGTCGATACGGAGCGGGTCCCACGGAGCGGAATTTTGCCTCCCTCGCGGATTTTGGAAAGCGCTCCAGATCTACGAGTGGAATTCACCATTTAAGGTGCTCTAGAAGGGGTGGTGTGAAAAGCGCGCCGCTTCCCCGCTGGACGGCGGGGTCCCCCGGGGCGTTGATTCCGCTAGGGGAAAATTTGGCGCTGAAACTAGGGGCGCCGTCAGAGCCGTCGGCTGCGTAGTACGTGCTCGGCTTCCGACGCGTTGTTTACGAATTGCTTTTTCTTGCGAGAGGATGCCCTCCACAACAAAAAAGAAAACGCAACGATGGTGTTTCGTGCCAGGGTGCGATGGAGGCTACAAAGGGTGTGCAGATAAGGTATCCCTTTTTCGTGCGCCGAGCAATCGTGAGATGTTCGAGAAGTGGGCCCGTGCAATCCCCAGGGCGGACAAGCCACTCGAAGAAAACTCCGCTGTATGCGAAAAGCATTTTGACGAGAGGTGGGTGTACTTACTTCTTCCCGAGTTGAGGGTCAGAGATGCTGGGGAGGAAGACCGTGATTAAACGGCGGAGTGGTGCAGTAGGTAGCATACCCGACGCGATTTTGAGCTCTCCAAGTAATGGTGCTTATGATGCCGCTTGCACTGAGACGGTAATTTGAGCCGGTTTGCCAGAAACTGCTGGCTGAAAGAAAGAACTACCAAAACTCACGAGTGGGAGTGGTGCTTTCATTCCTACAGCTTCAGCTGAAACGTTTCTAGCAAGGCAGCCTCGATTTTTAGCTCGAGCACGATGTCGAGTATTTCGTGGGCTGTACTCTACTGCGCTGTAAGTTACACGCGCGGTTATTTTACGTAACTTTGCAGGTCGGTTTCAACTTCATGGAGCTTAGGAAAAATTTACTCACTTTTGCTTTTATTTTTCTGCATATTAAGGGGCATTCCGAATATTGGCATAGGGATGCGCACCAAATAATTTTTCAAACTTTCCACTCGCTTTCGGCCCATTTCGCTCATGCCCAGAAAAAAAAAAATAATAAGACGTTCATATTACTTAGGAAGTTGTGGCATGCTACTTTCGAATGATTTTGCATGCGTTGTAGTTTCCTTTCTATGACAGAGCTCAGCCGTGAATGTTTCGCAGCACTTTTGCAATTGTTCAATAACTAGAAGTGTGGCTTTTTTTTTTTTTTTTTTTTTTTCAGATTCGTTGTGCGTGCCTTTAAGCACCAAGTAAACGGCCAAGAGGTATTGATACCACGTGACATCCCTACCCTGACGGAAGATGCATTTCCGACTGTTTTCCCTAACCTTCCGAAGTACATCAGCAAGACTCTCCCAAAAGCAAGGAAAAGGCGGATCACTACATCACTCCACGCTGTGCCAGCAAAGGCAAACTGCAGTTCACAAAATGAAGTCTCCCCTAGTGGATCTGGAGAACTGGATGGGACTCAAGAACACCATCATGAAGAACTCAACGGTTCTGAAGTACCGGCTAAGACCCATCAATGTCCTCACCGTGAAACACTTGCAGTGCCTGCAAGGGGAGATTTTGCTCATCATTTGCGCTGCCCATCTCATCACTGGTACAAGCAGACACTTGAAAGTGGCAGCGTGGTGTCATACCAAACTACCGTGTTTGACAAAACGAAAACACCGCCTGTCGAGTTAAGCAAGATTGTTGTCTTCGAGCACGAGTCAACAAGGCCATCTGTGAGGTGCAGCATTTTCTTCTCTGGGCTGCTTCACAAGGTAAAGAATGTTGAATCAGAAGAAGAAGCTCAGGAAGCGCTTAACTACACAGAAGACACTTCGCTGTGTGTTGGCATTGGGGGAACCACCGAGTTCCAGCTATTGGACCAGAAGTTCAAAGGCATCGCATCACGACAGCAGTTGTTCTCGAAACACTGTGACGGATCAGCACCCACAGGTATGCTATCTTAGTTTGTGAATGCACAAACCATCAATTTGTTACTCGTTTTTACTTGGAGCGGAATACATCTAAATACCACATACCTCTACTGTTATGTTCTATGTTCTCCTCCAGGCACAGGTGGATCACGTTGTTTGTCGTGCAAATACAGCAGGAACCTTCTAATGACACGCTTGCGGCGTATGAAAAAGCAGCCCGCACATCCAGTCAGCGTTTCGAAACAAAGACTCAGACAGGCTGTGCGAAGGCTAAGACGGAGGACCAAGAAAGTTCTTTCGTTACTTGACCGTCTCAAACTACTTCAGGAAAAGAATGTCTCCATCACTGAAGGGGCTCTTGAGGCACAGGTTAGATTGCGGAAAGTTTATTGCATGCTTTCCTTACAATTTCCACAAACAGGATTGGTTTGTGCATAAAGGTTGTCAGCCTAAATTGACTAGCAGTTGTGGATCTCCTTGTTCTTTTTTTTTTTTCAGATCAAAAAGCTTCCACAGAAACAGCAGTTCGCAGTGCGGGCCTGCTTTGAAGCATCGCAGCGTAGATCCCTGCGTGGGTACCGCTACAGCAAACAGTGGCTCTTGGAATGCATCATCCTACGAATGAAAAGTGCCCGTCTCTACGAGCATTTAAGGCGTCATAAGATCCTGGTGCTCCCAAGCCGTGTCTGCCTCTTCAAGTACATCAAGGTTTGTGTATGGGAATTATTTACACCAGGCGAAAGTCCTTATCCAATATTACTTATTCACAGAAATTCAAGGCATCGTATGGCTTCAGCCAACAGCTGTTGAATTCAGTGAAGATCAAGCTGCAAGGAATGGATGACATGAAGCGACATGGAGGCCTTGTCATAGATGAAATTAAACTTTCGTCACACCTGGACATGACTGCCTCTACACGTATTGAAGGCTTTGTCGACCTCGGCCAGTTTTCTCAGGAAGTGGACAAGCATGTTAGGGCGGACCATGGTCTTGTGGTGATGTTTCAACCATTTATTGGCAAATGGACTCAAATAATTGGTAAGTTCATGCTAGTAGCACTAGCATTTTCACTAAATGCAATTTTTGTTGAGTTTCACAGTTTGGGTGCATATATTTTTCTTGCTTTGTAGGTGTCTTTGCTTCTGCCAGCAATGTTAAGTCAAAGCTTCTGACAAAGATTGTGGTTGAAGCAACACTGCTTTGTGAACAAGTTGGACTGTATGTGGATTACATCTGCTCAGATGGAGCATCCTGGAACCGTGCCATGTGGCACGACCTTGGCGTTCATGGGTCATTGAAGTCCGTGGAATGCAAAGTTCTTCACCCGTATGACGAGCAAAGATTTTTGTACTTTATGTCTGATTTCCCCCACCTCATGAAGTGTGTCCGTAACTTAATGATGAAACATGGGTTCAACACGCATGAAGGACGGGTATGTAACGCATGCAACTGTTTTCTTTTAATATTTGCTGCTGCTCTTAATTGTGTCTCAAGATGTGATTTGATATAATGGCAATTGTCTGGATTCTTGCACAATTCTTGGCTTCGCAGGCTCACTGGGAACACGTTTCATCGACATGGAAGTGTGACAACAACAGTGTCACCTTCAAAGTGGCTCATAAATTGACTTGAGCTCACATCTTTCCTGACGGCTTTCAGAAGATGAGAGTTGACTTGGCTTTCCAGGTTTTTAGTCCGCTTGTTGTGCGAGCCATGTCCTTCTATGAAGATAAGATAGAGGCCCAATACCCTAACCTTAGGCCGACCAAGGTTTTCATCGCTCTGATGGCCGACCTCATTGAGGTCATGACATCAAGGTTCCCAGCTCAAGCACTCAGGTGCGGTTGTCTTTAAGTTCGATTTTTATCTTGTGCGTATGCAATTGAATGTAACTTTCCCCCGTTCTTCCAGACCTGGCAGCGAAAAGGCGGCGGTGCTGGACAGAGTGCTGCAGTTTCTTGGCGCATGGGAAGTGCACGCCGGAAGACTGGGTTTTCTCAGCACGAGCACGGCAGAAGGTCTCCGTGTGAGCCTGCACGCCACGAAAGACCTCCTTAAGTAATTACAAAGCTATGTCATATATTAACTCGCTCTTGATGTCAGGCTCGTAGCCAGGATTTTGTCTCGGGGGGGGGAGACAAAATCCCCCCCTCCCCCTCATACAAAATGCTGTATGAGGGGGAGGCGGGGAGAGGAGGTCCCAGCAAAACGGAAGATTTCGGGGGGGGGGGTGGGGGGGGGGGGGCCCTCCCCCCTGGCTACGTGCCTGCTTGATGTAGTCCTTGTTTTGAGAACTGTTTTAGTCCCATAGTCATCTTTAGTGGAATTGTAATGCTCCTCCAAGTTTCTTATTGGTAAATTCTGTGGCATTATGTACATGCCGCACCTGTGATAAGTGGGAACAATGCAAGATTGATCAGTAGCCAACACTTGTAAAATGTCTGACATGTCCGGTGTTGCATGAATGAAATGATGCAATATTTTCAGGTACCTGACCGAAAAAGTTGGGTTTTCCTTCCTGATGACCTGCCGCCTTAGCCAGGACTGCCTGGAGAGGTGCTTTGGCATCGTGAGGCAGTCGTGTGGAGCAAATGATCACCCGACGCCAGCCCAGTTTATTGTGATTATGAGGTACAGAACCACCATTTTTTAAATTTCCCATGTATGTAATCTGTTAGAAAGAACAAACCATTGATGTTCCTATCCAATTTTTGTGTGCACTGCAGGTGTCTGGCGTTCTATGGCTTGGCCAGGAGTCCTGTGGGAGGGAATGTTGCACCTGACATGCTCGAGTCCTTGCTTTCCATGGAGGAGGCTCTACAGGATGACGACGAAGAAGCTTGCCACTTGGAGGAGCCATCAGCCTCGGCCGAAGTCGTCGTTGACCATTTAGCATACGTCACACAACACAGCGATGCTCGCCTTGTGTACTATGTCGCAGGATATGTAGCAAGGAAACGAATTCTGCCAAGCTCTTGCGAGCTATGCAAGTCGCTATGTCTCGTGAGTAAGGAGGACGTGCCCTCCAACCTGCCAGCAGAAACCTGCATAGAGTGGGATCTTGGGGGGCTCCTGTACCCGTCCGAACCCCTGTACAGACTCATTCAGACACTGGAAGACAGGCTGACAAGTGCATTCAGCAAAGTGAAGCTCCATGCAAAAGTGGTTAAAGAGATTGTACATGGCATCGGGCGGGTTCCGAGCATAGGCTGCAGCGAGCATTCGCTCGACTTGACACAGACAGTTGTCAAGTTTTATGCAATGACGAGAGTGCATTTTTTCCTGAAAGGAAAGAACCAAACTGAGAATGAAAAGAAATGCAAGAGGAAAAAACCATGTGTCCTCTAAGTGCTTGCACTGTAGCTCTGTGAAAGAGCACACCTTGGGCGTGTTTTGTGAATAAAAGTTGTCAGTGTTGGAATTTTGATGAAGCTTTTTTCTGGCACTAGAGACACAGTCGCACTATCATGATGATAATATTATTACTATTATAACGGTGCACTATTCTCTGTGCATTTTCCTTCTATAAACGGAGCTTGCGGTCCCCAAACTGGTTAGGCAAGTGCCACTATTGGCACTATAGAGCTTAAAATAAGTCTATAATGTCGAGTTGTCTTGGATTCTACAGCTTCTATTAATCTTTTCTCACGGGCACTAGTCTTCAACGGGACTGGGAAGTCAAAATGTAGTTTCCCCTTTTACTGCACAGTTGGAGTTCAATAGTGAGCTGGCTGAAGTGTGGAGGCTTGGCCTCCTTGGAAAGTTGGACATACGCCGCTGTAGGCTCCGGTTTGTTGCCTAATTAACAGATTAATACCTAGTTTGAGCGGAAAAGTGGGAATACTCGCCCACCCAGTCTTCCGACCGCAAAAGTGTACTCGAGTGACGTTCTGACGGGTCAGCCGTAGCTACGTACGCTGTTCCCAAATAAATACGAAACATCGTCCATGATAAGGTGAGACAAAGTATATAGGCGTTGATAATTGAACGTACCATTTATTCCGGTTTCTTCGTTCTCCACCCAATCCGGTAATTACCAGCATGGGCTCAAGCACATATCAGCAGGCTCGCGCGAACGCACCGAAAACCGCTAAACCATCAGTATGGTGTAAACGACAAACATTACCTTACTTTTCGAGCTGCGAGATGCTAGGCCGCTCGTAGTTACCAAAGGCTGTAAAACAAATAAGCAACAACAGCCGCAGCGTCTTCTTTCGTAGTGTTTCCCTGGTCCGTCTACGGTGCGCTGACGGCGCCCCTGATCGCGGCGCCATCCTGCGGCATCAACGAAAACCGGCACCGCGCTTCGCCCTCCGCTTTACACACCACCCCCTTCTAGAGCATAACGTTACTAAAACACTCAGTTGGGAAAATCCCAAAGAGACAGCTTTGAAAAAGTGGCCCCAATCTGTCTCCGAGCACCGAGCTAATGACGAACACAACGCCACCATTTCTCCCGCAGCGGCCTCTCGAAGAAGTGCACGTGACTTCTATTTTGGCTTAAGAACAGACACAGCGGTAGAGGTTACAGGGGTGCCACCCCCATCTCCCCGGCGGACGCGCCGCGTTCAACCACTGACGTTAAAATGCACCTAGGTCAGGACGTGCTACCTGAAAGGCCCGCTGAGGCATGGTTGTATGAAAACAATATTAATTGTTCCGCAAAACCTTGCGAACTAAAGATGATAAAAACATCACGCGCCCATCATTTGGTACTAAACTCCAATAAATTCCATACAAAAAGAGTCTTTTCCGTTTGTTTTTACGCAAAAACAGGCTTTCAAAAAGCTCAAGGGGACCACAGTACAGACAAACGATAAAGAGTGGCGCTGTTGTCGCATTTAGCTCGGTCTCGGTGGACGCCAGCGGCCCAGGTTTCGACGGCGAGTTTCCCAACTGAGTGTTTTAGTAACGTTGGTAAGAGCCTACCTCACCAGCACCGCGATCGTAAACAATAAATAGCCGGCGAATGTTTCCTAAAAGTTTTGTTAAATAATATTCAGATCCACATTTTGTAGCATAATTAGAGATGTGTGGCGAAAATTGCCAAATTTGATAATGCTGAGAGCCAAGCGCCATCTATCGTGTGGTAAACGAAGCAACTACTGCGCGTGCGCAGTAATGCAGGGCCGACAGTTACTTGGGTGACGGCAACGTTACTAAAACACTCAGTTGGGAAACTCCCATAGAGACAGCTTTCAAAAAGTGGCTCCAAACTGTCTCCGAGCACCGAGCTAATGACGAACACAATGCCACCATTTCTCCCGCAGCGGCCACTCGAGGAACTGCACGTGACTTCTATTTTGGCTTTAAGAACAGATACAGCGGAAGAGGTCACAGGAGTGCCACCCCCGTCTCCTCGGCGGACGCGCCGCGTTCAGCTGTTGAAGTTAAAATGCACCTAGGTCGGGACGCGCAACCTGAAAGCTCCGCCGAGGCATGGTTGTATAGAAACAATATTAATTGTGCCGCAAAACCCTGCAAACTAAAGATTTTAAAAACATAACGCGCCCCTTTTTGGTACTAAACTCCAATAAATTTCATACAAAAAGAGTCTTTTTCGTTTGTTTTTACGCAAAAATAGGCTTTCAAAAAGCTCAAGGTGACCACAGTACAGACAAATGATAAAGAGTGGCGCTGTTGTCGCATTTAGCTCGGTCTCTGTGGACGCCAGCGGCCCAGGTTTCGACGGCGAGTTTCCCAACTGAGTGTTTTAGTAACGTTGGGTGACGGCGACCATTGATGGCGACCGACGAACATTTATTTTCTTTGTTTTCCTTCCTCTCAAAACTCTGACTGACTGAACGTTTATTTTTCTACGTGTTCTTCCCGCGCGTGCCGACTTCAAGCAGCAAGAAAACAGTACTTAAAACAGACCACGACGAACAAGAACGCTGGATCCACCGACTCCGACGAAGCGTATAGGCCTAGCAGGCATTCCGACTCGGCGCTGCGTTGCTTCGTCGTAAGACCGTCTGCCTACGATCGGCTGGCGTGCTAAGTGGAATATGCCCGCGCGACCCTTGTGGACCCTTCCCGTATTATAGTTTGATCACTGACCTCAATTCTACCGGGTGAAACAAGGAGACGGTAGGCTCTTTAAATCGACCGGAAAATTCGGTTTCTTTACCTATCTCGCTACGACTTTGTGCAGCGTTGCCCACAGATGGTGCATTTTTTTCGTAAAATTTGCAAAGAGCGAACTTACCTGAGGAAAAAGTAAAGAAAGAAAAAGGCTTAGCTCCTATGGAAACGCAGCGACGCCACCGGCCTTCAAACAACACGGTGCCGTTTCGCACTGGACACAAGAGATGGCGCAACGAACGCCGCAACGAACAAGCATACGGCGCCGAGAGCCGGCCTTCTTAGCAGACGATCTTTTCGACTCAAAAGCGGAGCGCGTTCCGTAGGCGGCGACAGTCGCAGAAACAAAAAAGACAGGCGCAGTAACAGCAAGGAACTGCAGTTCCTTGTCTGCAAAAGGGCCGACTCTCGGCGTCGTCTGCTCGTTCGTTGGCGGCAGTTGGCGTCGCGACCGCTTGCGCCATCTCTTGTCTCCCGTGCAAAGCGGCGAAGTTTTGTTTGCAGACCGGAGGCGTCGCTGCGCTTCCATAGAAGCTAAGCCTTTTTCTTTCTTTACTTTTTCCTCAGGTAAGTTCGCTCTTTGCAAATTTTACAAAAAAAAATGCACCATCTGTGGGCAACGCTGCACAAAGTCGTAGCGCGATAGGTTAAGAAACCGAATTTTCCGGTCGATTTAAAGAGCCTACCGTCTCCTTGTTTCACCCGGTAGATTAAGAGGTGCGGTCAATCTCTTCCCCTTGTTTTCCGAGGCAGTGTTGACGAACACTCGTCGAAAAGGGACTCTCGTCGATTCTATCTTCTTGTTTTGTGTGATATAGAGCTGAAATAAACGCCATATGGATTACCTTCGTAACACGGTATGTGCACTTTGTTATTGGTATGCCATTTTTATTCTGACAGACTGCACGTCACTGTCGAGCTATAACAGTTCGTGGGAGGTATACGTACAACCCCGGTCCAACCTTTCTTTGCCGAGTGTCGCGTCAGTATCGAGTTGCAATCGTAAAAGAACGGTCCCGAAGCGCTTACAAACAGCGCGAATACAAGACTTCCATCAAGCGCGCGCGTCCGCTCCGAGTGTAAACAGGTATTTACGTGGCTCTTGCTGACACTCGTAGTTCAAACGTATCTTTTTTAACGTCGGCTCGCTCCTGCATCTCCGAGGCCGCGAAAAACGCCATCTACGTCGCTTTACAAACGACTGACACGGGCCGGCCCTTCTGCCAACAATGACGGGGTGGTTGACTTATGGAGTCTTCACCGGAAGACTCGCTGCAGTTCCCAACAGGCATACCGGCGTATGGGACTAGTCCCATGCTGTCGCTGTAGCGCAACATATCTCATTGAATTTCGCTCAGCTGCGATGCGGCGATGAGAGACGCCGATTCAGGAAATACGTCGGTGACATCAGCGCAGTAAAACCTACCGGCGCACCCCAACTCGTTGCCGCTAACACTCCCATTCTCCTACTGCCGAGAGAACTTCCGGTTCCGGAAACGGTCTACGTCACGGCTTCTTTTGCGGTCATTTGGAGAGAATGAAAAAGTCGATATTTCAATAATTTTTTGTGTAGAAGTTAATAAACCGAGACGAAAACGGATGCCTGTTCGGCATTCAGTGAACATTGACGGTTTAATGTAAAAGTTATCTGGAAAAAGTAAAAAGGTCATTTCATGGTCCCTGTGAGCTCCAGACTCCGGACATCTGCGCTCGAGCGCGCGGGTTCGGAGCGTAGCTAAGCTTGGGGTTTTGATGTTTCTTCCGTCTCGTGCGAGGCCACCGCGTGAAACCACCGCTAGGGGTGTCGCGAACTGGCCGAGGTTCGAGTTCGACCTGGTTCGACTTTTCGAACTTTTCGTGGAAATTTCGACGAACCTTGTATTGAGGTTCGACTCGTGTGCGCATGCGCGACAGGCTGGCCAGTTGGCTTCGGATTGGATGGTAATGGCTAATGGATGAATTAACGGCACCGCTGGTTGGTTATTTCAGTTAATACAGTACAAAAAAAAATTAAGTTATTAACGTCTTTAGTGAATAGAAGTGGTTTCTTTTAATTCCAACTGTTCATAAAATAAAATAACCATTTGCATAAAAATAAATTCTCCAAACCTAGACGTGCATCTATCAAGGTCTGGCCACACTGTCCGCAAAGTCGAACCATAGAGATCATATCATGGAGAATAGAAGGGTAGGAGGGCATGACGTCAGCCGCGTAGCCTTCACAAGCCATGCTCCCTTGACGCCTCGCCTCTTTCTCATTTTCCTCCTTACTCTCCTCACTTACCATGCCAACGTGACCACATCACGTGACCGTAGC